TGCCTAGCTAACACTTTCAATAAAATGTATTGGTCCAAAAACGTGTGAGCTAAACACTATGCTCTCAAAACTCAATGTAACCTCATTCATTTTTAGAAGCCAAAAGCTAATGTAACAGATCAGAGGCAGTAGGCAATATACAGCATTATTAAAAAGAAGGTTTAAAGTGGACTTTCACTCATTTTTCAAAGTTATGTTCATCCTAATGGCCACCCATGGATAATAAAAATTTTTCATTTTATCTGAAAGTAATCCACTTATCACGTTGACTCCTGGGATATCTGTATCATTGATCTCAGGAGTCTTCAGCATCCTAAGCTCAACCACGTGCGCCGCACATTGTCATTATTTCGCAGGCGCAAGAATGGGACGTGCATGAACGGAATCCAGAAAATGCATAAGAGCAGGCTTCAGATGCCCACATCTGCAATGGCCACTGCAAGAATTCCAGGAGAGGAGAATAAATGACAGGTGTGGAAAGTACATACTACTGTATGTGGACAGTTACAGAAATATCCAAATTAAATGCTGCGAGTCATAAGAATCAAAAAGATGCTTTTATTACAATTTTGGTTAGGAGACTGTAGCTCCACTTGAAAATTTAGTCATTTTAATAAGTTTAAGATAAGTTCATTGTCTTTACAACAAATTGATAATTTACCATTTGATTTGCTTTGATACTATTTTTTTTATCAAGCAATATCTGTACTGAGATATGGCAGCTGCCATTACTAAAAATATCTTGTGGAAATGCTAGTTGCTTGGCTGACATGCTGACCAATGGCTTTGAAACACCAATTAATGTAGTTATATTGTCATTAAAGAAAAACCTAATGATTTAATTTTAAACCCAACTTGTAAGTATCCAGATTTGACTTGGTAATGCGTAATCCTTGTAAAGTAGAACTAAGACTTGAAGAGTGAGGAGCAGCACTGGCAGCCAATCAGGTGTACAGTAGAGAATATACTGTATGTAGACAAAAACATGCTGAAAGGAGGATAGAGCAGTGTGATTGGTACTATGCTTCTCTTCCTCCACTATCATGTAAATGTAATAAAAACTGACCAGTGTTTTAATCCCTCTCCACTCTATACAAAGTTTAAAAAAAGTTTTGCCTTTAGTTATATTTTAAATGCAGTAGAAAAAAAATGTAAGGTCATCACCCTCAGGGCCAATCAACTAACGTGTAAGGTAAAGTCTACCGGCTTGGAAAAAAACGTATGTAAATGGATAGAAAACTGGCTATAAGATTGTATTCAGAGAGTAGTGTTAATGATTCATACTCTGAATGGTCTGGGGTCATCAGTGGTGTACCTCAAGGTTCAGTTTTAATACATTTATAAACGATATGGGGTCTGGGATTAAAAATACCATTTTAGTCTTTGCAGATGACACCAAACTGTGCAGTGTAATAACGTCCTCACAGGATGTCTCCAATTTACAAGCCGACCTCAGTGCACTGTTTAATTGGGCAACTATGTGGCAAATTAGGATTTATGTTGATAAATGTAAGGTTATGCACTTGGGGGCTAAGAATATGCATGCATCATACATACTGGGGGGGGTACAACTGGGGGAATCAATAGTTGTGAAGGATCTGGGGGTTAATAATGGCATGCAATGCCAAGCTGCGGTTTCAAAAGCGAGCAAAAACCTCTCTTGTATTTATAGAGGTATAGACTCCAGAGAGAGAGATATCATTTCCCCCGGTACAAATCATTAGTAACACCTCATCTGGAATATGCAGTTCAGTTTTGGGCACCAATTCACAAAAAGAACATTGGGGAACTGGAGAAAGTACAGAGAAGGGCAACCAAACTGATAAGAGGCATGGAGGAGATCAGCTATGAGGAAAGATTAGGGAACTGAATTTATTCTCTCTTCAGAAGAGGAGATAAGAGGATATGATCTCCATGTATAATACTAAGGGGGGAATGATCTTAGTATAATACATAAGGGGGATATGATCTCCATGTATAATACATAAGGGGGGATATGATCACCATGTATAATACATAAGGGGGGATATGATCTCCATGTATAATACATAAGGGGGGGATATGATCTCCATGTATAATACATAAGGGGGATATGATCTCCATGTATAATACATAAGGGGGGATATGATCTCCATGTATAATACATAAGGGGGGATATGATCTCCATGTATAATACATAAGGGGGGATATGATCTCCATGTATAATACATAAGGGGGATATGATCTCCATGTATAATACATAAGGGGGGATATGATCTCCATGTATAATACATAAGGGGGGATATGATCTCCATGTATAATACATATGGGGGGATATGATCTCCATGTATAATACATAAGGGGGATATGATCTCCATGTATAATACATAAGGGGGGATATGATCTCCATGTATAATACATAAGGGGGGATATGATCTCCATGTATAATACATAAGGGGGATATGATCTCCATGTATAATACATATGGGGGATATGATCTCCATGTATAATACATAAGGGGGGATATGATCTCCATGTATAATACATAAGGGGGGATATGATCTCCATGTATAAAACATATGGGGGATATGATCTCCATGTATAATACATAAGGGGGATATGATCTCCATGTATAATACATAAGGGGGGATATGATCTCCATGTATAATACATAAGGGGGATATGATCTCCATGTATAATACATAAGGGGGGATATGATCTCCATGTATAATACATGGGGGATATAATCTCCATGTATAATACATAAGGGGGGATATGATCTCCATGTATAATACATAAGGGGGGGATATGATCTCCATGTATAATACATAAGGGGGGATATGATCTCCAGGTATAATACATAAGGGGGATATGATCGCCATGTATAATACATAAGGGGGATATGATCGCCATGTATAATACATATGAGATCTCCATGTATAATACATAAGGGGGGATATGATCGCCATGTATAATACATAAGGGGGGATATGATCGCCATGTATAATACATAAGGGGGGATATGATCTCCATGTATAATACATAAGGGGGGGATATGATCTCCATGTATAATACATAAGGGGGGATATGATCTCCATGTATAATACATAAGGGGGGATATGATCTCCATGTATAATACATAAGGGGGGATATGATCGCCATGTATAATACATAAGGGGGGGATATGATCTCCATGTATAATACATAAGGGGGGATATGATCGCCATGTATAATACATAAGGGGGGATATGATCTCCATGTATAATACATAAGGGGGGATATGATCTCCATGTATAATACATAAGGGGGGATATGATCTCCATGTATAATACATAAGGGGGGATATGACCTCCATGTATAATACATAAGGGGGGATATGACCTCCATGTATAATACATAAGGGGGATATGACCTCCATGTATAATACATAAGGGGGGATATGATCTCCATGTATAATACATAAGGGGGATATGATCTCCATGTATAATACATAAGGGGGGATATGATATGATCTACATGATATCTCCATGTATAATACATAAGGGGGGATATGATCTCCATGTATAATACATAAGGGGGATATGATCTCCATCTCCATGTATAATACATAAGGGGGATATGATCTCCATGTATAATACATAAGGGGGGATATGATCTCCATGTATAATACATAAGGGGGGTATAAACAATAAGGGGGATATGATCTCCATGTATAATACATAAGGGGGGAAATATGATCTCCATGTATAATACATAAGGGGGGATATGTCTCCATGTATAATACATAAGGGGGGATATGATCTCCATGTATAATACATAAGGGGGGTAAATATGATCTCCATGTATAATACATAAGGGGGGATATGATCTCCATGTATAATACATAAAGGGGGGATATGATCTCCATGTATAATACATGTATAATACATAAGGGGGGAAATATGATCTATGATCTCCATGATATATCTCCAATACATAAGGGGGGATATGATCTCCATGTATAATACATAAGGGGGGGGGGGGGGATATGATCTCCATGTATAATACATAAGGGGGGATATGATCTCCATGTATAATACATAAGGGGGGGATATGATCTCCATGTATAATACATAAGGGGGGGGGGGATATGATCACCATGTATAATACATAAGGGGGATATGATCTCCATGTATAATACATAAGGGGGGATATGATCTCCATGTATAATACATAAGGGGGGATATGATCACCATGTATAATACATAAGGGGGATATGATCTCCATGTATAATACATAAGGGGGGATATGATCTCCATGTATAAATACATCAGTGGTTCATATAGTGAACTCGGTGTAGTTATTCCCCCTGAGGTCATCACAGAGGACAAGGGGGCGCTCTTTACGTCTGGAGGAAAATAAATTTGATCTCCAAATGCGTAAATGTTTCTTCACAGTAAGAGCTGTGAAAATGTGGAATAGACTTCCTCAAGAGTTGGTTGTGGCCAGCTCAGTGGATTGCTTTAAAAAAGGCCTGGATTCTTTTTTAGATACACAGAATATAACTGGATACTAACATTTATAGGTAAAGTTGATCCAGGGAATATCCGATTGCCTCTTGGGGGATCAGGAAGGAATTTTTTCCCCTACAGGAGCAAACTGAATCGTGCTTTGCTGGGCTTTTTGCCTTCCTCTGGATCAACTGTGGGTGTAGGATTATAACTTTTTTTTTTTTTTTTAATGGTTGAACTGGATGGACTTTTGTCTTTTTTCAGCCAGACTGACTATGTAACTATGTAACCTGGTTGTGCTGTGTACATTTTAAGATTGGCTGAAAACAAATGCAAATTATTTGAAAGGATTTGTCTTTAATACTCCCTAAAAAATCACGGACCTGTACAAGCATGCATTCCTTTTGACTAATCTTCATACTTATTCCAGGCCAGTGGCTAAATATTGAAACCAGAACCAGCCAGGCTACTGGTCCTTTTAGAAAGAGGTCCTTGAAGGTAGCCCTGTGTTTCCCCTATCACAGGTTTCCTTTAAGACAATGTACTCCCTTTAACACTAGTCACACTTGGACTGTGGTACAACGGCCCTGGTTTCTCTGAGTCCCAGGCTCTACGTTTCAGAGGAAATGGACAATTAAGATCTTCATTTTGTTTGAGGCCTTGTGAACTATCTTGACTGTGGGGTCTCCTTGTTGGCAATTTGGCTCTGCCGCACTGGCCAGCTGATGCAGGGTGCCTTGGCAAGCCTATATTTAAAGGTGCTGCCCAGCGTGAGAACCTGTAGCTGTTAGACTTGACAATCCTTGACTTTATGCGAGTTAGGGCAGATTCAGAAAAAGTACTGTATGTCCGAGGTAGAAGTTGCTTATCAATTGTGGGGATGGGAGTTTCTTTATGCAGCACCTTGGTAGATGTATGCATTATTTGCCAAAGTCTGAGTCTCTGCTCCAAGGTGCTCACTTCTTTCAGGACCAGGGTGACTTTGTCCATTTTTTCCAGCAGGTCTGAGATTGCTCTGGGAAGATGTTCCACTGCCAGAGCAGGTGAAAGAACAGGGCGAGGACTGCTTGAAGAAAACAGGTCTTGTTCTTCGGCTGAAGGTGGCCGATGAACCAGTTCAGTCTTAGCTGGCATATGGGAGGAGGCTGGGGATGATCTGGTCGAATTAGGTCCCTGGCCTTCAAATCTCACGCTATGGCGATACTAAATGGGGATTAAAGATATATATTATTAAAATAGGAACTGGACATCTCATAAGAACATGCTTAAATCAAAAAAAAATGAGAACTGAAGCTCCTAATAACATGTTGCAAAGAAAAGTAAATACCTCAGTCCATGCCGCTCAATACCACTTGCAGGAGTGACAATCTCCTGTGTCCTCCGAGAATTTCAGTGGTTCTTCCTGAAAACTATGTCTTGTAGTGATGTAGGGGTCTGTTTATATATACACTAGGTATAATATTCCAAGAGGCACAGATTTATTTTTAAGGATATCTATATTAAACTGTTTCTTGTTAAAAAAAATGTACTCCTCTCTGGTTCTTATACCTACTATTGAGCATCTCTGCTACTAAAGTAGTGCATGGCCTCTTTCAGTCCTATCTATATCATCATACCATCATGACCCCTCTCAAGCTGAACCAGGACTGAGCTCCTTAGGTATTGAGAGTGACCATCTACAGAACCTGAGACGGATGTATTCTCCACAGGCACTGACACCAGGTTGCACACACCGTTTTTGTGGTTGTACGCAACCTTATTAGATGTAAGTCAACTATATTTGAATATTTAAGATCACATCTTGTATATTCTTCGCTTTTTTCAATACTGTACCATAAGGGCTCTCCCACCCCCTTATTTCTGTTTTCCATGTGTGCCTCTTGAATCTTCTTTTCGTGATAGTTACCAGATAGATTACATCCTCAGAGCGCAGGTCATCTTGGACCCCATCCTGTGAGTGGACAGTGAAAGGAGAAGTAGCACAGTGAAGAGCTAATTTCTCTGTCACTCTTTGCTCTCCTAACAGCATTCTGCTTGTTAGAACATACAGTAAACAGATTGGCCGCTTGTGCTGCTTCTTCCTCTCACACCCCAGTCTTTCTGTAAGGAACTGTAAAAAACTGATGATACCAGGTGAAATTTATGACGTGTCAGGCTGAATTCATACTGGAATGGACAGCTGTTGGATCGCTTTACCCATCCGGCAGCTGACTATTCTGACTGCGGAAGGGGGATGTGTGCTGTGCAATTCAGCGCATCACACAGCTCTCTTTTTTGGGCAAACTTTATTTGATGTGCTCATACGTTCACTTCATTCATGCTGCTGTAGAACAGCGTGATGCTCTCAGCTGCTGTACAATTATATACAATCCTGTACTGCGTGCTGCAATAAAATACAGCATGTCTGCATTTTGTCGCAGCTCACTGCAGCACAGCTCTGGGCTGTGTTGCAGTGTGAATAAGACACACAGAAATTTTTTGTTTTCTGTGTGTCTGTGCAGTGACTGGTGTTTGGTAGTAAAACGCTGGTCACTGCACATAATGTGAATTACCCTTCAGTGATTACAGGGTTACAATAATTTGTTTTTACACGTAGAGTTCTTAAAATAGAACTACAGTGAATTCTTTAATTTTGGTTAAAACAGGGAACCTTTAACTGAAAGTAAGGAAAAATCCAAAATTCTGAGTTGTCGCTAAATAAGAATATAGAGGAAATCTCCCAATGGGGACACTTGTTCCAGTGCCTAGGTAATTTTCTTTCTTTGGAGAGGTTCCCTACCACTTCCTGTTGTATTTGCAGGACAGGAAGTGAGAGGAAGTCTTCCCATTGAGAAAGAGAAGTCAGAAAAAAGTATGACTGGGGTTTTGACCATTTCATACTATATCAAAAACCAAAAAATGGCTTTAAATATTCTCTATACAAGTTATCTCAACTATGTGTTTAAGGAGACTTGAAAAACACACAGTGATTGAAAACCTTGAGAAATCTAAGCTACACAGACAATAGGTGATGCCTGGGTGTGAGTGTACAACCTAACCACCCAAAGTTCTTTCAGTTCAAACATGCATCAGCCTTAGAAACAGTAGAAATTGGGAGAGAGAATTTTCCTACCGACCCCCTCCCGACGAACAGCAATAGACATTGTAATGGTAGTGCATCCAATGAACAATGCCATATCCCAGATCTGTGAACATTGTTTATAGATACACTTACATACTACAGAGTATATTGGGGTTCTTATGTTAGATAGAGCCTTCCACCTCCCCATATTACTGCTAGAGGGTGTATATGCGACATATGTTAGTCCTATGCTTGTAAAAACGTACAGCATATACACTATATTGCCAAAAGTAATGGGACACCACTCCAAATCATTGGATTCAGGGGTTCCAATCACCTCCATGGCCACAGGTGTAAAAAATCAAGCTCCTAGGCACACAGATGGCTTCTACAAATATTTGTGAAAGAATGGGTTGCTTTCAGGAGCTCAGTGAATTCAAATATGGTACCGTGATAGGTTGCTGCAGTCCACTTGTGAAATTTCCTTGCTACTAAATATTCCACATCAAACGTCAGTGGTATTATAACAAATTGGAAGCAACTGGGAAGAACATCAATTCAGCCACAAAGTGGTAGGCCACGTAAAATTAGAAAGCGGGGTCAGTGCATGCTGAAGTGCGCAGAAGTTGCCAACTGCCTGCAATAGCTAAAGACCTCCAAACTTCATGTGGCCTTCAGATTAGCACAACAACAGTGCATAGAGAGCTTCATGGAATGGGTTTCCATGGCCGAACAGCTGCATCCAAGCCTTCCATCACCAAGAGCAATGCAAAGCGTTGGATGCAGTAGTGTGAAGCACACCATCAGTGGACTTTAGAGCAGTGAAGACGTGTTCTCTGGAGTGATGAATCACGCTTCTCTGTCTGGCAATTTGATAGACGTGTCTGGGTTTAGCGGTTGTCAGAACAGTACTTACCTGACTGCATTGTGCCAGTTGTAAAGTTTGGTGGAGGGGGGATTATGGTGTGGGGTTGCTTTTCAGGGTTGGGCCTGGCCCCTTTGTTCCAGTGAAGGGAACTCTTAAGGCATCAGCACACCAAGACAATTTCATGCTCCCAACTTTGTAGGAAGAGTTTGGGGATGGCCCCTTCCTGTTCCAACATGACTGCACACCAGTGCACAAAGCAAGGTTCATAAAGACATGGATGAGCGAGTTTGGGGTGGAGGAACATGACTAGCCGGCACATGACTAGTCATGACCTCAACCCGATAGAACACCTTTAGGATGAATTAGAGCGGAGACTGCGAGCTAGGCCTTCTCATCCGACATCAGTGCCTGACCTCACAAATGTGCGTCAGGAAGAATGTTTAAACATTCCCATAGACACCCTCCTAAACCTTGTAGACAGCCTTCCCAGAAGAGTTGAAGCTTTTATAGCTGCAAAGGATGTGCCAACTCAATATTGAAGCCTACGGACTAAGACTGGGATGCCAGTAAAGTTCATGTGCGTCTAAAGGCAAGCATCCCAATACTTTTGGCAATAGTGTATATCATGTCTGGTAAATGGAAACACTTCTATAAACAAAATTGATGCACAAAGGCTCCCAGTGGCACATCTAGGCCTAGTGGCCCAGGAAATGTTCCCCAGGTCTCAGTTGAAGTGCCATGGGTTATGGTCTCTCAAAATTTCTTCTTGTCGTTGAATTACTACTATCATCATATGCATCCATTGTAGGGCCATGGGATGACCATCTCTGGTCTCCAGTAACTTCACATAATGATTATGGGAGTAAAACCAACATGTAACTTGAGAATAGTTAATTCACAAATAAGGGAATGTACTAGTCCACTGTGTTTTAATCCTGAAGCTAGGGCCTGGAAAATTCTTCTAAAACCTTCCATTCCCCTACAGTAACAAATAAAGTTTATACTCACACAATAAAAGTATGAGAATGCAAAAAATGTATTGAAATGCTGAAAGGCTCTGGATGGGGTTGGGTGTCACTGTGGAGATAATGAGGGTTCTGGAGAGGGTTAGGGGACTCAGCAGCAGACTTGGTGGCCCTGTAGAGGATGTGGTTTCTGGAGGGGGCTGGGGGATCCATGGAGCACTGTGTGTTGTCTGGAGAGCACAGCAAGGGCTAAGAGGCACTGTGAGACACTATTAGAGGTTGGGGGCATTAAGGAAGGCTTGAGGCTAAGCAGCAGGTTGGGGGGAGGGCAATGGTGGAGGTTCAGTGGCACTGTGGGGGCTGTGGGCTCTCAGGCTGCCTGGGGGCATTGTGGGAGGCGGTTGAGGTTAACTGTGGGCAGTTATAGGAGGTTGGGAGCACATTGGGAACTGGAAGGCACTGTGATAGGTTAGGGGATATGCAGTTGGCTGGAGGCCTGGGAGATGAAAGGTTGCAGCCTAGCGGTAGACCACAGCTAGATGTTGAGAACCACTGCCTTAGATACTACCAAATCCTGGTGTCTTGTACTGAAAAATGACCAGCTTAAGCATACCTTTACTCTAAAATGTTCTTATTTAGTATGTAGGAAAGGAGATGAGAAGATGCTAGAGACCTTACTGGGGTTATAAAAAAAATCTTAAGCCACCCCTTAACACTAGAGCTAAGTTCTCACCAGCTAGCAGTACATACAGTCAGGTCCATAAATATTGGGACATCGACACAATTCTAACATTTTTGGCTCTATACACCACTACAATGGATTTGAAATGAAACGAACAAGATGTGCTTTAACTGCAGACTGTCAGCTTTAATTTGAGGGTATTTACATCCAAATCAGGTGAACAGTGTAGGAATTACAACAGTTTGCATATGTGCCTCCCACTTGTTAAGGGACCAAAAGTAATGGGACAATTGGCTTCTCAGTTGTTCCATGGCCAGGTGTGTGTTATTCCCTCATTATCCCAATTACAACGAGCAGATAAAAGGTCCAGAGTTAATTTCAAGTGTGCTATTTGCATTTGGAATCTGTTGCTGTAAACTCTCAAGATGAGATCCAAAGAGCTGTCACTATCAGTGAAGCAAGCCATCATTAGGCTGAAAAAACAAAACAAACCCATCAGAGCAATATCAAAAACATTAGGCGTGGCCAAAACAACTGTTTGGAACATTCTTAAAAAGAAGGAACGCACCGGTGAGCTCAGCAACACCAAAAGACCCGGAAGACCACGGAAAGCAACTGTGGTGGATGACCGAAGAATTCTTTCCCTGGTGAAGAAAACACCCTTCACAACAGTTGGCCAGATCAAGAACACTCTCCAGGAGGTAGGTGTATGTGTGTCAAAGTCAACAATCAAGAGAAGACTTCACCAGAGTGAATACAGAGGGTTCACCACAAGATGGAAACCATTGGTGAGCCTCAAAAACAGGAAGGCCAGATTAGAGTTTGCCAAACGACATTTAAAAATGCTTTCACAGCTCTGGAACAACATCCTATGGACAGATGAGACCGAGATCAAAGAGTGATGGGAAGAGAAGAGTATGGAGAAGGAAAGGAACTGCTCATGATCCCAAGCATACCACCTCATCAGTGAAGCATGGTGGTGGTAGTGTCATGGCGTGGGCATGTATGGCTGCCAATGGAACTGATTCTCTTGTATTTATTGATGATGTGACTGCTGACAAAAGCAGCAGGATGAATTCTGAAGTGTTTCCGGCAATATTATCTGCTCATATTCAGCCAAATGCTTCAGAACTCATTGGACGCCGCTTCACAGTGCAGATGGACAATGACCCAAAGCATACTGCAAAAGCAACCAAGGAGTTTTTTAAGGGAAAGAAGTGGAATGTTATGCAATGGCCAAGTCAATCACCTGACCTGAATCGGATTGAGCATGAATTTCACTTGCTGAAGACAAAACTGAAGGAAAATGCCCCAAGAACAAGCAGGAACTGAAGACAGTTGCAGTAGAGGCCTGGCAGAGCATCACCAGGGATGAAACCCAGCGTCTGGTGATGTCTATGCGTTCCAGACTGCAGGCTGTAATTGACTGCAAAGGATTTGCAACCAAGTATTAAAAAGTGAAAGTTTGATTTATGATTATTATTCCGTCCCATTACTTTTGGTCCCATAACAAGTGGGAGGCACATATGCAAACTGTTGTAATTCCTACACCGTTCACCTGATTTGGATGTAAATACCCTCAAATTAAAGCTGACAGTCTGCAGTTAAAGCAAAATTTGTTTTCAAAATTTGTTTGTTTTCATTTCAAATCCATTGTGGTGGTGTATAGAGCCAAAAATGTTACAATTGTGTCGATGTCCCAATATTTATGGACCTGACTGTAGTTGCCAACATTTCAAAAAAATTTTCAGGAACACCTTTTTTCCTGTTTGTCCAGAAAGCCACTGTAGGCAGAGCATTACTTTAGTTGGAGGCGAGGCTTTAATTTATTATAGATGTGGCTCCCCAAGAAAAGAAATAAAAATGTGGTGCGTGAAGTGCGCTGTGACAAAAAGTGGGTGTGGTTTAAATTCCACTAAATATTGGGCATGGCTTAAAGGGGGGTTGTTAAATAGAGTCTGAGATGGCTTACATCTGCATAAGATACAGGACATCCACCGCCACTTTGCCCGCCCCTACTATAAAAAAAAAACAAGACTACTAGAGACCACCAGCCACAAAGACCTCCCCAGATAAGATGAGCAGATGAGGCAGGCTTGACAAAGTGGATGGAGCAGGAAATCACTCAGAAAATTATTACCGAGTCCTCTGCTGCCTCTGACCCCCAAAGTCCTCTGTCTATTTGGGTCTCCACTCTCCCCTCCTCCTTTGTCTGTCACTGCTCCTCTCTGGTCCGGTCCTGTTCGCAGCCGCTCTGACAAATCAGTGTGTATGTCCAGGCTGTGTCGTAGTCCGGGTTCGCTGTGTAACTCAGCCGCAGCCTCCTCTAGCTCACCACGGCTCACGGTGGGTTGCTGTGATCACCTTCGGCTGGCAACACCGCCTCACTAGTGCTGATCAACCAAGAGGCAGGCACCACCTGACTTCCTGGAGGAGTAGGAGGTAGGGAGAGGATCTGCTGTGTGTGATCACCTCTCTGTTACCCCGGAGCTGCAGTTTTGTGTTTTGCCATACAGTGACTGAACTAAGCCGTCAGTGACAGAGCTTAATTTTTGGGATTATGCCTGGGAGAAACTCTGAGCAGGACATCTGGCAGTTTTTTGTGAATTTCCTGGGCATTTCGAGACTGTTGGCAACTATGGCAGTATTGCAAAGACGAAGGGGACAGCATTCTGAAGGATGAGGGCATTCTGTGGCTCTGTGTCATTGATGTGTCATGATATAAAGCTTCAAACTAAGCCTGCTAATGCCTCCCCGCACTCTTGGTCACTTTAGTAGAGGAAGTCTTAGTAAGGGCTTTTTAAAGTCATGAAACATTTTTTAAGCAATTGTGTAATTCCTCACCTCTTTCACTTTGTTGACTCCCAGCCACAGCTTAAACCTTTTCACAAAGAAGTCAATCATCTCGTAATCTTGAGGTTCGAGAGCCAGACGGTAACATTCTACTCGGGTACGACGATAACTAGTCAGTACTGAACCACACAGAAGCCCCCTGCACACCAGCAAGACACTCAGACCCAACCATCCAAGACAAGGGATACACTTTAGCATGGGCCAGAAGCTCTGACCATTCCACAGCAAGTCAGAAATTTTGTTGCAGGAGATACTGAGTGCTGGTAATAATACAACGGTCACCTGAATAAGAGAGATTATGCAATGTTTTTAAATTATTTGTGCAATAATTGATGTATATATTATAGAGTGCCAAATACAAAGCAAAAAAATAACTGGCATTTAACCTAACTCATACATTTATAGTTTATTTGAACAGAAAATCTCAGGATGATTGATACCTGGAACCAGGGGAGGACTGACCATTTGGAAACTCCGGCACTGCCCGAGGGCCCGGGGTCAGTAGGGGCCCCATGAGATGCCCCTGGTACCGTTTTCATAGGATTTTTTGAGTTTGGGCAAGGACACAGGGGCCCCATGATCCCCTATTGCCCGGGGCCCCATGAGTTGTCAGTCCTCCCCTGCCTAGAACACAAGAAGCTTGAATCCAACATGGGAGTCTGTCACAGCCCAACTTTCAAAATGAGTGCTTTATATGGAGTGGGCAAGTCACTGGGCATAATGTAGCATTTACAAAAGAAAAGAATAAATCATGTTCAGAGGATCTGTGAATATGCTGGCACAACAGTTGTGGTACAAATTATTCAATAACTCTGAATCAAAAGTACGGGGTCTCCACGATAAATGATAGTATGCGAATGGAAATAATGCTGGTAATGGACAATGATACTTTTGAGAAATTCACTGTTATATGGTATATTTGGATCCACTTCTGCACTTCTGATGACCTCAAGGCAATGCTCTCCCCTAACAGTGGAACTACGGACATGTTGCTTCAACCTAGCACTAGTCCAGCTTGGAGGTACCTTTGCTGACTTCCCATGTTTGCCCCAACAACCGGTTTATGTACTGCCCTCTGATTGGTAGCTCCTTTTAGTAGCTATTTTGGCCTTCAATATTTGCTCACGTTCTATTTCTTTTTTTCTTATCTTTCTTTTTTTCCACTTTATGCCCACTTGGTGGTCATTCTTCTCTCTCTAGTTTTATTTTTTCTGTTTCTTCTTTTGTCATTTTATTGTGCCATGCTGCATCTTGCTGATCTAGGTGACTAATTTCATCATCACACCGCAGACCTATTGTACACCAGCTTAGTTCAGAAGGTGGCAGTGTTTGAGGCCTTGGAACCGGAGCCTGATTCCATGGTATTTAGGGTCTAGTTTACTTCATTTCCTTATACTTTTGTATTAACCTGTTGCCTCATCTTTGACGCTATGATATTCAGACTGTGATTGGGACTCATTTCCACAGCCGACATTACTTGAAAGTGTGTTTGTCTCTTCTTGACATTTTGTAAAACTAATAAAGATATATTTGCCTCCAAATCAAAAGTGCGCTTGTGACATCATCACGCACCCCGATCTCAGGAAGCGGCCTGTCTGAATCCCGGGACCAGCTCATGTCAGATAAGCACATTTTATTAAACAATATATTTGGTTTTACATTATGTGGCTCCCTTGGCTCTCTTCCTATTGTATGGTTGAGTGTTAAGGGTTGACGAATGAGACTTCCATGAGGGTGAAATCGGACCCAGAGGAGGTGTGCATTATCCCAACTGGGTACCATATGGATTTACAAGCTCATTTGAATATTTTCTGGTTGAAAGAGTCCGCATGCTCTGGTAAGTGTGTTTTATTGAGCAGATGGCAGGGCATCACTAAGGTGTCACGGTTTATAAAGAGTCTCCTGACTGTATGGATGAAGATTTTGTTTACCGCTTTGGGACTGTCATTGTTTTTTTTGCACTTATTTATATAGACTCACTCACTTTATGATTTGTGTCAATTGGTGATTAGAATGTAACATTTGACTTGGTATTCTGAAAGATAGAGAATAGTAACCTAGCAGGATGGGAGTCATTTTGAGTCATTCTGAGATAGGTTTCCATTAAAATTACCACTTTAAGATTTTTTCAGGATAAATAATATGAAAAAAACAGGTAACTTTCTAGGTTCCAGAGGGGCAAGATGGCCAAACCTCTGATATTGAAAGCTGAATTCCAGGCAAACAACTGAATACACAAATATACATATAAAGGAGCTCTTACTCTTAGATTGTAAGCTCCAAGGAGCAGGGCCCTCCTAACTCTCTTGTATTGAACTTTATCATTGCTGTATTGTCTCCCTTTATTTTGTAAAGTGCTGAGCAAACTGTTGGTGCTATATAAATCCTGCATAATTATAATATCTGCCAAGGATTTGTACTTCTGTCTCTCTGTAATTGAGATATATATTGCTCTGCAACAGCACAGTTCCACCTTGGGGGTGGTGGAAGTGGTTGGGAATGGGGGGTTGTCAGGAGACCTATTTTTTCTCTGCTGCACTTTGGTAACATTTACAAGTCTTGTCCCTCCCTCAACCTGTGACTGGACAGTGAAGGAGAAGCAGCACAATAAGGAGCTCCAAAGCACTGAAGAAGCACTCACTAGTTTCTTGAGCTGCTTCTACCTCTTCCATGCTGAGCTCCCTGTTCATGGACTGCCGGAGGCTGATACCAGGTCAGATTCAGGTACTTACTCTTGCCAAAAATACAAATGTTTGGTTAGTGGAAAACAAGTTTGGGGGTCTGCGTAGCTGGAGCTCAATAGTCACCTCACCGGTTTGAAGGGGGAGTGGTGTCCACAATAGTATGCAGTTGTCAGGGACCATCGCGACGCATGGGTCTGCACATGCGTAGGTGTCTGTCAAGACATGCAGGCAGCAGGGCAGATTTGATCTCCTGTTATTGACCCAGCGTGTGACCCGACTATTCTTTGCCTACTGTTTTGTACCGCACCGACCCCCCGGCTACCGACACGGCTTGTTTGACTCTGCCCTTGCTCATTCCTCCATCCATCCCTCAGGGATCCCCGGGTCCCCTCACATCAGACTCTCACCCTGCAGGAGCCTCCGGCAGACTCCTCTACCACTGATAGAGATATCCGGTAGCTGCGACCTGGTCCCGGGGTGCTCCAAGTCCATCCCCACCATCAGGGGCCCTGGTGAACAAGTGCTCCGGAACTTAGACTCCGCACTCTGGAGAGGCTCTATCAGGGGACTGATAGAGGTGCTGTCGGGTGGTCCGTTACAGCAGTCTTGCAAGTGTAGTGTAGGAAAGGATGCCGCTCTAATGGCACGTAGAATCTTGTATGAAGATGGCCTCAGCTGTTGCTCCAGCCACGCCTTCTGATGCACCCTGCCCACCAGGGTTTGGTCATAGAGGAGTCCTCTGTTACCAAGCCCCGGTGGGTGGGGTGAAACACATCAGAGGGCATGGCCGGTGCGACGGCAGAGGCCATCTTCATCCAAGATTCCACGTGCGGTTAGAGTAGCATCCTTTCCTACACTACACTTGCAAGTTTGGCGGCCTATTTTAATAATTTTTTTGGTGGTGTCCTTGGCATATACCTAGAATTACGAGTGGAAAAACAAGAAACATGGTGTAGATACCTTCAGCACAAATACTGCACAGGGCCCTTGCTAGTTTTCACCCACCATTATAGTCATTATTAAAATCCTTCATGTAGTTTAGTGGTTACTACAGAAAATTTCAGTAATCAATTTTTACCCACCAGGTTAATGCAATGAGTCAGTGCCAGCATAAAGGCAGCAATAAAAAGTACCAAACCAGGTAATTCCTTCCATAACAACTGGAATGTTTTAACAAACACCGCCCAGCGCCGCACAAACCGAAACTGTTGTGCAACCTTCAAAGAGACAAAACAGCATTAAAGAAAACCAAGAAAAAATACCTGAATCTTGTTATATACAGTCCCAGTTTGCTCTTCACAGGACTGGGTCATAGATGTTCAAAATAAAAACTCTCACCTTCAACATGATCAGTAATAGCAGAGTGGCAGACAGGGCAACCTGTGTTCGCGAAAGCAATGCTACATCATACAGGCTGATAAACGCCCAGGGTTTTGCCTGATATTGTTCCATCCGATGCTTTGTTAGCCAAACTCTGCCAATGTGCACAAAACCTGTGGCTGCAGATGCCAACCCAAGAAGTAGCCGCGTCCAGCGGGGAGAGTAGGATGAACCTGAAGAGCAGAATCCAACTAAGGCAGCCAGTTCAGGATACAGAAAAAGCAGAGCAGCAAGCAAGAGGGAGAACTGTGGAAGAGAGAAAGGTATTGGTCAACCTCCTTGCAGTCCATTGTATGTCTTTATGGACAAGATAGCACAGAAACAGCAGTTGAAGAACCTACTCTTAGCAAGAGATAAAGATTGATGATCCATCCTTATGCTATGGGATCTCTTTGCAGGAGTTATAACTATGGACCATGTCATGGTAATAAAGAATGAAAGCACATTGTAGTCTGGCACATTACTATGAGTATGTCTAGGAAATCGCTGTTCTAGCATCTTCGCCATGTTTCTATGGTGTTCCATACGGTTTACTACCATCACCTCTTCTGTTTACAGATTACGTGCTACTTCTTGGTAAAAATAGTCCAGCATCAATGGCTTGGCAATACAGATGATATATACCCAAAATACGCACGTTCTTAACCCCAGAAATCACTAAACAGCTCATCCACTCCCTCATCGTATCATGACTCGATTACTGCAACTCCCTCCTTACTGGCCTGCCTTGCCGCTGGCTATCCTCGCTTCAGTCCATCCTGAATACGGCTGCCAGACTCATTCACCTTTCCAACCGCTCCGTTTCCGCCACCCCCCTCTGCCAATCCCTCCACTGGCTTCCGATTGCGCAACGGATAAAATTCAAAATCCTAACACTGACGTACAAAGCTGTCCACCATACTGCCCCGAACTACATCACTGACCTAATATCCAAGTACCACCCAGCACGCACACTCCGCTCCTCACAAGACCTCCTTCTCTCTAGTTCCCTGGTCTCCTCCTCCCATGCCCGCCTCCAGGACTTCTCCAGGGTGTCACCCATCCTCTGGAACTCCCTGCCCCAACCCATCAGATTATCACCTACTCTCCTCTCCTTTAGGCGCACCCTGAAAACCCATCTCTTCAGGGAAGCCTACCCCACCCCCTGCTAACTTGCCAGCCTCCTCCACTCTTCCTACCACCCCATTCCCCCAGAGCTATCTCCTCCTGTGCCGCCATCCCCTCCCTCCTAGATTGTAAGCTTGAAAGAGCAGGGCCCTCAATCCCCTCATGTTTTGCATTGTATTGTTGTTGTTCTGTCACATGTTCTGTCCCCCTTTGTAATGTACAGCGCTGAGCGAACTATTGGCGCTTTATAAATACTGTATAATAATAATATATAGCTGTGTTTTTCCTTGAAGCTAGGTCTGTAGAACTTAGTTTACGCTTCAGGTTGGCAGTAAAACTAGGTGGTTAAGCCACATTTTTTCCACCCCTTTATGCTGCAAAGGCAGCTGGGCAGGGTTGTACACATGCTATGGCTATGATTCTCTGTTTTACAGCATGGTAAAAATAATCTCTGTTGTCACATTTGGTGGGCAGTTCTAACGTCAACCACTCATTCAAGTCAATAGAGCTGCGCCATGACCGCAAGCCAAAAACTAGCCTCACAAATTAGGTGGGGTATTCCCATTCAAAAAGCCCATTTGGATGTAAAAAAAAAAGCAGGCATTTAGGAGGTAGCAGTATCGTCTGTCAGCTGTGCATGTGCCACTCGATGAAAAGAAATTCATCGCAAATTGTTTTTCACAGACTGATGCAGATGTAAACGACCTCCAAGAGGGTCTACCTTTCATATGTCATGTATTCCTTAAAATACTGTCTGGGATCTGATTCATATGAAGACTTTTTCTTTCAGGTACATTTTGTTAATCAGGTACAATTTGTGGAAAAGCAGTTTAAAGAGGTCATACTCACTGCTAGTGCCATAGGCAGATTCAGACCATGTCCTGGCTTCTCAAGATGGAATGGGAGGATGGAGAGCTTGAAAGCCCTGCTTCCATAGGGCGACAGATCCAGATGAACAATGGTGGAAATATAAAGACCAACATCTTTGTGATACTGTGTGATCTCCACTTGAAGAATGCTGAAAAACAGATATAAATGTATTGGTCTAATGACCAGTTTTGTATTTAATTTAAGGTTAAATGTATCTCTAGGCAACACCTTTTTTTAGCTTTAGATAACGTAGGGAGAGTTAGGCTCCCTGTGAAGTTTTTGTATAGCTGTCTGTGTAACCATTGGGTAGAATCACCCTTCTATTTGTACTGGTGACCATTGTCATCTGGAAAGAGAACAAGGTAAATCCAAAACTTTATAGTTGTTCCTATAACAAGGGGGAATCATCCAATGGGGACACCTGTTTTAGGGACAACTGTCTGAAAATGGAATTTTCTTTTTATTTACTTGTAGCACACTCCTAGATAGGTGCTAGGATTAGATAGATTTAGTTTGTATTTTGATAGTTACATTTAGTTGTTACACTGTAGACAGTGTGGTCATAATTGCTGTTAGGTAAAGTAAAGAGTTATACAGATGGCAGCATAAATATTGTTACAGCCCTGGCCTATCCCAGAGAGAGAGTCTCTGGTGGCATGCTGGGTAACTGTTTATATTCAGTGAGCACACTGAGTTTTGGGTATTTCCTCTAGGATTGTTCCAGCCTGGACTAAGGGCATGCTGGGTTCTGCTAAAGGTGACTGAGGGGTTGTCTACTGAAGATCTGGTCTGGTATCACAAAGGAAGGCAACCTGCTGTTCTTGGGTATTGTGAGTACAGACACCCCTAAAGGATCTTAGAGACTTAGGGAGTCAGCTGCAGGTCTGGGCTAAAGGGGACACAGCTGGTGTTCCAAAGAGCTTTGTCCACTTAATCTCCTACCTAAAGGGACACTCTAGTTTTCTGCTACTACTACTGTTGCCTTAAAACTGAATGTACTGTTTGTTTCAAGCATGGGCTTTGCCATAGCTTATCCAAAAGAATACCTGAAACCCTCAACTGTACATACTTTCTGTTTTTAGAGTATCCCACCTATTTCCCTCAACCCTATCCAAGTTCTCGTAAAATAAAAACAACAAAAACAACACGCCTAGACTGGTCATTGAAGAAACGTGTGAACTAGCCTATGTGCCTGGCTGCGGAGCAAAGCTTTTGGGAAAGACTTGAACAGTATTTCTGCAGCTTCTATGGGAGTAGCACACTACATACTCCTAATTCCCGAGACATAAAGCAAAGATAATTTCCACAATCGTGCAGACACCAAAAAAAATAGTATAGTTTGTCAAATTCAACTGGATTTGATCTGTAACTTTAAAGATGTTTTGTAGATTATCCAAAACACTTAATCCAATCGCCATAGGGCAGATATTATTGTCCCAGCACATAATGGGAGAAGTGAAAGTTGTGGGGTTGCATTGGGGATTTTTACAGGCTGATTATGAATAATTACTTTGGTTTAACCAATCACAACACCTCCCCCCATTTGGTTTTCTATGGACCACAAGTTGGGTAACTCTAGGACTGAGAGCAGCTGTCATTTTGGTAGCTTGTGCCAGCTGAGCCACTGTACATGCGATTGTACAGACACTATTCATCTCAGCTCGGAGAGTGAAGGACACACTTTGGCATTTTCACCTTGTATTACATAGTTCAATAGTTAGTCTGGCTGAAAAAAGACAAACGTCCATCCAGTTCAACCATAAACTGCCAAAGGACTCCTTCCCAACACTGACTGCAATTCCAAAGGTCTTTACGAAGAGTGGATCTCAACCACCGGTTCATGGCTTCCCTTATCCCAGGCCTCCAGCCAGCTGCAGATCCCTTAACTTCCAACAGTGCCTTCCAGCTACCATATTGCGCTCCAACCTTCCATAGTGGCCCCAGGCATCTGAAAGCCCTCACCCTCTACAGTTCCCCCAAACCTCCCTCAGTGCCCCCTCCAAACTCCCACAGCAACCCCAGCTTCCTTCAGAAAGCTCATCCCCTAGTCTGCTGCAGAGTTTGCTAACTCAATCTACCACCCCCATCCACAGTGACACCCAAACCCATCCAAAGCCTTCCAACATTTCAATACATATTTTGCATTCCCATATTTATATTGTATTTGTATAAACTTTATTTTTTACTGTTGGGACATGGAAGGTTTTGAAAGAATTTACCAAGTCCTGGTCTGGAAGGCTGAGAATCAGTGTTCTAGAAGTCCATAATGAGCTTGTAGACAGCAGGCTAAGTGTTAACTGATTCCAGCACAGTCCTTTCTCATAGCCCACTGCAGCCTCTTCCACAGACATCAAAACATGCATAAAATAATGTACAGCAAAAAATGTACAGCACAGCAGTTAAATAAAGTGAACATTCTGACATCAGCAGAGTTACAACATTTCCTGTTGTCAGCAGTAGACTAATCTTTTTCTTGTTGTGTGCAGTTTCTGTTTAAGTATCCTGTAATATTACTTCTATTGTATGGCACGTACCTCTTACTGATCCAATGAAAGTTATTCAAGGCTCGGATCAAGTTGAACGCCTTCTCCTTTGTGTCACCAAGTTCAAAACATGGTTTCTTTAGCAAGCTAGAGATAACAGCATCCAGTTAAAACCATACTACACAAATCTCTTAGCAGTTTTGGATTGAGTTGGGAAGGGTTAGAACAGGGTGTAAAACTCAATTTCAATGTCGACCGCATCAGAATTGTTTGCCCTGAAAGGCCCAATTGTATTTGTAAGACTAGATGTCCAGAGCACCCCACCCCACATACATCAGATGTCAAGATCTCCCCCACCATCAGAAATCAAGAGTCCCCCACCCTCCCTTACATCACAGTGCACCCCCCCCCTAACCTTGTGCTGCTGCTAGGAAGAAGCTGGGGGGCAGAGCTGGGAAGCAGAAAGGGCAGGATCTGGAGGAGAATCAGAGGAGGGCTGGAGTCAACTTCCAGAGTCTGCTGAATGCTGAGACCAGGGGAGGTGGAGATGAGGGGATGCTGCAGCTGCACAGAGAGGTGCAGAATCTGTAGGAGGACTTCTGTCCTCCTCTCTGCTGCCGACTGGTGAGATGAGGGGGCACAGATGAGCCTCTCTGTGACTGCATGGAGAAGCGCAAGAAGTGGTTTAGGAGTTCTGTCCTCTCTGCTGCTGACTTCTGAGACAAGGTGGAGGCGGGCACAAGGGTGGTGCCACAGCTGCAGAAGAGGTGCAAGGGCCTCATGAAATGACCCAGCGGGCGTTAGAACCTTTGTAGGCTAAAGAATGACTTTTACTGCTGTTCGGTTTTCCTTTAAAGAGTTTTCCCACCGTTACTTGTCTTGATGACCCCATAGCAAGTTCAGGGAAATCAACCCAGAGGGGACACAGGCAGAAAACGTGACTGCAGTTCTAACCCTTTCCATGCTGTCCAACTCTAAATAGTTCACTATATGTAGAATAAGATACCCTTCAGTGGTTGGTGGTTTTGTCCTGCTGAGTTCAGCATTAAACCACTGGATGTTACTAAATGCAACAATGTTATATGCAATTGACCACAATTTTTTTTTTTACTACAGCTGGTTAACAATCATTAATTTGATGAGAATTATCAGAAACTGTTGCTGCAAGGGGAAAATGTCTCAGAAGGTTAAAGAAAACAAGAGGACCAATATCAATCTGTTTTGGTCTAACAAATCATTTTTGTTCCTTGCGCAGGGTGGCTCACTTACTCACAGTAGGTGTGGGCCAGGGGTAAAAATCCTAGGAAGCTCTTATGATGCATCAGAAAGGTAATTCTGTTAATACTCAGCAATTAAAACAGAATATGATGAAAGCATAATCAGAGGTTACCTTCTTTGAAAATCTCACATCAATATCAATAGATCTAAAGATGAAGGCAGCTGCAGTTATATTCAAACCTTGGCTTTTCCAGCAGAAGAATAGCTTAGCTCTGACTCATTTTACTTCTTGAGCCTCCTATTGGTCCTTTTGATGAGCAGCCTTATTGGCCAATAGGAAGGCTTGGTAGACAAGACAATATAAAGTCAACTTTGACTTTACAGGAAGAGTCAAGACCGGCAAATAATGTTAGCTGCCTACACTTCTGAATTCACTCACTTGCAGTTTTCAGTGTAGTTTCACCTAACAGTGACATTGTCATCTTCTCATTTAGGACAAAGTGACAGTGTCAGGTTCCCCCTCCCGGACCCTCTGATGCTCAGCTTGCCAGAGGTTGATCACTGGCAGGATGACTAAAAGTGGAAAATCATCCTGCGCTCCACAGACACAAATAATATCTAATATTGGTGCCAGCTGCCAGGGGCAGACTGACAACTCATGGGGCCCCCGGGCAATAGGGGATCATGGGGCCCCTGTGTCCTTGCCCAAACTCAAAAAAGCCTATGAAAAAGGTACCAGGGGCATCTCATGGGGCCCCCTACTTACCCAAGGCCCTCGGGCAGTGCCCTTGTTTCCAAATGGTCAGTCCGCCCCTGCCAGTTGCTATCACCTCTTCCCTATACCATGGAAACACGCCAAATACAATAAAAAAAAATGGTGAAGCGCTATGCTTAGAATTATGATTAATATGAATATAAGGTGCTATACATAGATAAATAAATATAAACACACTGTAATAATCAATACGCAATGTGCAATAAATAAATGCGCCAAAAGACTGAGTCCCCAATATGATGAATCAAAAATATAAAATAAACATAATACAAACAAGTGCAATAAAAAAATCAGATAAATAATGTAGATGATGAATAAATAGAATAAATATTACAGTGATACAGTGTTATTAAAACACACTTGTGATACTGTGCAAAACACTTATTGATATAATCTGATATGCCAAACAGACCAGCTAACCAAACCAATCTAGTGACATAAACGGTGATGTGCCACTCAATTGATCAAACAAAATGACAATTGCTCAAATTGTCAGGATGAGTGTCAGTGAGTCTTTGGCGTGCCTTTAACAGACATTGCCACTTCCCCCTGAATGAGCAAGGTTGACAATACCTCTCTAGCAACTCTACTTTTAAAGTTTACATTATTTTTTTTTATTAAAAAATCAGTACAAATGGCAGTATTTATGTAGCAGGCTCCTTGTACAAGAGGATTTATCACACGTTCAGCAGTCGGTCCTTCCTCTCTCTCTCCTGTTTGTAAAACCTGGGCATTCTGCCAAGTTCATGACTCATCCACTACACAGCAAAGAACGCTGGGAGGGGGAGGAAGCAGGAAGTGAAGGGGAGAACGGAGAGACACGAGGCTGGAGAAAAGACAGGGACACAGCAGGGTCCCTCTATCCGCGCTGAGTGCTGTAGTGCCTCCTCCTCTGCTTGGACGGGCTCCACGTGTCCCTGTCTTTTCTCCAGCCTCGTGTCTCTCTGTTCTCCCCTTCACTTCCTGCTTCCTCCCCCTCCCAGCGTTCTTTGCTGTGTAGTGGATGAGTCATGAACTTGGCAGAATGCCCAGGTTTTACAAACAGGAGAGAGAGAGGAAGGACCGACTGCTGAACGTGTGATAAATCCTCTTGTACAAGGAGCCTGCTACATTTACATTGAATGAGCAATGTCCCTTGTGCTGGTGGCTGCTGCCTTAGATTAAGTCGTTCGTTCACAGAAGTAGTCTTCTTGATCTTCGGGAGTTAATATGAGCCACCGGACCTGTCAGAGACACTCATCAAGAGTACTGACTATGCCCAACCTTTCTGCCCCCCCCTTCTCCAATCATTGAAGCTGTACTATAGATTCCATCAATGAATGGAGGAAATGGTCCTTTCTTTCATATGCCCATCCTTTAGTCATGGAGTGCTTTTCATTGCTGGAAGCTATAGAGCAGAGTGTATGAATGGAGGAAGGGAGTCAGAAAGGACAAGCATAGCTGGCACTCTTGATGAGTGTTTATGACAGGTCTAGCGGCTTATATTATTCTCCACAGCAGGGGTATGGGGGAAGAGGTCTGAAGATTTCAACTAAGAGAGCAGTCAGCAGCACCAGGGGTGGACTGACAACTCATGGGGCCCCCGGGCAATAGAGGATCATGGGGCCCCTGTGTCCTTGCCCAAACTCAAAAAAAAGCCTTCTGTACAACCAGTCTGTCAGTTTTTCCCAAATGATCAGTGTTGCTGGCTATAGCCATCAACACTGATCAGTGTGTTTTGACAGTGGGGAAGGCTCCCTGATGTCAAAACACAATAGTACAGTGCAGGGGCGGACTGACAACTCATGGGGCCCTTGGGCAATAGGGGATCATGGGGCCCCTGTGTCCTTGCCCAAACTCAAAAAAGACTATGAAAAAGGTACCAGGGGCATCTCATGGGGCCCCCTACTGACCCCGGGCCCTTGGGCAGTGCCGAGTTTCTAAATGGTCAGTCCGCCCCTGCAAGGGTATACTTCTCATTCAATGTCAGTACCGCCCCTTGTGCTGATTTTTTTCAAAATTTTAACTAAACTTAGACTAAACGAAGAGCATTTATTACACTATAAATTGCATATCAGATGATTAAACAGCCCACCAAACAGTCAGGTCAGTGGGGTTTGAACTTCAAGTATACATTCTCTCTGGTAGAGTCCCATAAACATATTACGCTCCTTTTGGAAATTCAACCGACTAACATCAACCAAAATGTAATTTCTTCAAAGTGTATATGATTTTCAAACTGATCTAAATATCTAACTCTCTTACCTTGCAGAATCCATTGGAAAGTTTGACCCCACAGTAAAATTAGTGCCTGGCTGTGAGAGTGGCGGAGACTGTAGAGTCGAAGCCCAACCTGAAAGGTCCAGTAAAAGTATTGAGATAACTAATAATAGACCGCAAATGAGATATGAAAGAACATAGAAAAGGTATAGGGCTCACCTAACACGTTAGAAGGTAGACTATGAAGCCGGCACAAACGAGGTGACCTCATGAGTTTCAGTCGATGATCCCGGTACAGGTGAGCAGGTAGTGTGATGTGTAGCCAGTGCCATGCGTTAGAAGCACTAAAAGCAGAGTGGATGTGTACACATTAGAATCTGAACCTTCATTTTCTTTGCTCCAGTCTTCATAAACCAGCTTACATCTCACCTTCGTATTGTATTATTTTCAAAGGTGGAGTCAGTAATAGAGTGCTTTATAGTCGAGTGAAGGAGTCGGATGTTGTTGTCATGAAAACTGACGTGGAAATACATCAGCAGCACCAGAAAAAGGAAAGCCATGTAACCCGTACAACTCTGCATAACAACAAAAAAATGAGCCAATCATTAAAATATGTGCAATTTAAAGTAGAAATGAAAGACAAAACATTTGTGTATGAATATTAAAAACATTATAAATACCCTTTTTTCCCCCTTTTTTATAAGTGATCTCATTCCCTCTGTTCTCAGCTGCATAAGGTGCTCAGAGAGCTGGGGAAGGAGAAACAACAGTCCACTGGTCTTCCCGGTGAATGTCTATCTGGGGGAAGGGGCGTGTCAGCACAAATTTAATCATTGGAGGAGAGCAGGCTGAGTATCCAGCACAGTTAGAGAACTGAACACGCTATGCCCTCATGCCCTGGGGCGGACTGACCATTTGGAAACTCGGGCGCTGCCCGAGGATCCGGGGTCAGTAGGGGGCCCCATGAGATGCCCCTGGTACCTTTTTCATAGGCTTTTTTGAGTTTGGGCAAGGACACAGGGGCCCCATGATCCCCTATTGCCCGGGGAGCCCCATGAGTTGTCAGTCCGCCCCTGACTTGCCAATAACAGTAGTAAATTGAAATGAGGGTCTGTCACCTGAATCATGGACCTCAGTGCACGCACTCTCCTTGCTTCCTCTTTTGCCTGCTGTAGGCCAAATCCCCCTGGTGCTCGGACTTTCTCGGGGTGATCCATTATCTTCCTAATAAGGGGCTCCTCCACCAAACCCATACCTTCACTAAGCACTGGGGGGCAGTATAGAGCATAGTACAGTGAAAGCACACACCACCTTCAAGAGCCAAAAAAATATAATTGTTAATGAGAATTGTTTGGGAAATAATTCCAGATGTAAAAAAATGAAAAGTAAAAAAAACCTAAAGTATAACTATGAGCAAAATGAAAAAGACACACATGATACAACATGTCAGTGACATTAGCACATCAGGATTTTTTTTTAAGTCTGTAATATACCTTAGTTTATTATCTTTTGATTCCGCCCCCAAATCCATTATATTTCCACTTCCTAGTTGGAGCAAATCATATTACACTGGTGGTGCTTACAACGGTCAGCTTTTATTTATATGGCCTAAAACTTTTTTCCAAATGTTTTAGCAGCTGCTTAAAAAGTGTTAGCTGGAGTTAGAAGTTACTTTGTTTCTTACTTATATTCCATTTAAAACTGCATGTCCATTTAAGACGACCCTGTTCACAGGGGGACACCGCTGCTGTAAAAATGGTGAACATTGTTGTCACCCTAAGACAGGAAGTGAACAAATAACAAATCAACTGACAACTTGGATCAACAGGTTAATAAAACGATAATACAGGGAGAATTCAGAAAAAAAAACAAAAATGGTGGGAAAAAAGCTGCATCACATATGTCAGGTGTATTGAATTATAATTCCTATCAGTACATTTTTTTTTGCAGCAGAAGTCCAAATTTCATATTTGTACTAGGACTCAGATCCTAGTATATATATTCATTTTATGTAAAACAAAATGAGGCAATGTACAATTTCTATAGCATATCAATATTTATTCAATTTTCTGTGTGCCACCTTACATCAGGGGTCCCTAACAGAGCACCCCTTTACATTGTGTGTCCTATCAGAGTGCCCCCTGTAGGTGTGCTATTAGAATGTCTCCTTACATCTGGTATCCTATTAGAGTGCACCCTTATATCACGTGTCCTATCAAAGTGCACCTTTATACCAGGTGTCTCCATCACAGTGCCCCCTTGCATCAGGTGTCCCCGTCACAGTGCCTCCTTATACCAGGTGTCTGCATCACAGTGCCCCCTTGCAACAGGTGTCCCCGTCACAGTGCCCCCTTGCATTAGGTGTCCCCGTCACAGTGCCCCCTTGCATCAGGTGTCCCCGTCACAGTGCCCCCTTGCATCAGGTGTCCCCCAGTGCCCCCTTGCATCAGGTGTCCCCATCACAGTGCCCCCTTGCATCAGGTGTCCCCGTCACAGTGCCTTCTTATACCAGGTGTCCCCGTCACAGTGCCCCCTTGCATCAGGTGTCCCCGTCACAGTGCCCCCTTGCATCAGGTGTCCCCGTCACAGTGCCCCCTTGCATCAGGTGTCCCCTTCACAGTGCCCCCTTGCATCAGGTGTCCCCGTCACAGTGCCCCCTTGCATCAGGTGTCCCCGTCACAGTGCCCCTTGCATCAGGTGTCCCCATCACAGTGCCCCCTTGCATCAGGTGTCCCCGTCACAGTGCCTCCTTATACCAGGTGTCTCCATCTCAGTGCCCCTTACATCAGGTGTTTAAATCACAGTGCCCCCTTGCATCAGGTGTCCCCGTCACAGTGCCTCCTTATACCAGGAGTCTCCATCACAGTGCCCCTTGCATCAGGTGTCCCCATCACAGTGCCTCTTTATACCAGGTGTCTCCATCACAGTGCCCCTTTACCTCAGGTGTCCCCATTACAGTGCAGGATGACAATTGTGGCAGCTACCAGGAGGACTGGTGTGTCTACGTTGTAAGATTTAGACACCCCAGTCCTTCAGGTAGCTTCCATAATTGCCATCCTGCCACACCAGGCTTGCTGTCATCCCTTTACAATACAAGAGGAGCTTTATAACCTGTGATCTCATGTTTTGTGTCTGTGACAGCAAATGCTAGGGCAGAAAGAAGGAAGAGCCCAGCCCTGGTCACATAATTGCCCACCTACCTTGAGTGGCTCCAGCAGCACAGCAGATGACAGCAGTGCACAGGTACATGATATGAGCCATAGGAAGAAACCATGTTCAGAAAGCGATGAGGTATAGAGGACGGTGACGGCAACACAACCAGCTAACAGCATGAATGACATTATATAAACTACCAACAGCATCCAGGGAGGGAATAGCCATCCAGGAGGCTTCCATCGAACCCCTGTGGGTACATCAGAACATAAATATTGGATGCACCAAAGAGAATAGTTGGGTTTTTAGTAATGTATATATTTTCACCAAAGTGTTTAGGGCTAGAAACAAATGTTCAAAATATGTTTTCCTGTTTTTGCTGGCTAAATAAGAAATACTGTATTAGGATATTCCTTTAACAATTAAAGTGTATTTAAATCCTAAGGGCCCATTTACATCTGTGCCTTGCATTAATTAAGTATGTTAACAAGTGCTGCATTAATAAAATAACGGTCAGCCAACTCAACAAACGTTCCCAAGAAGGGACATGCCACAGATATCTGACGTAACATGCATTGCATTGAGCTGAAGTAATGCGCTCATTCCCATCACACGTAGATGTAAATGGGTCCTGTAACTTCTATTACTGTATATATATATGCTGCATTTTGGTCTGTTAACTAAACCATTGACAGTGATTTGTAATATTTGCTCTATAAACACGAAAAAAAAACAGTTGATCCTGCCAGAAACCCGCTACTGTCCTGTGCACCCTTTAGTGTTACCAGCCACTCCAAGTTTGGTTCTATGGACTACAGAATACTTTCCCTTTGTGTTATGGAAATGAGAGGTGGAAAAGTTCTATAGTCTTAATGCTATATCATAAGGTGATTATACTGGTTCTCTGTAAATACTGTAGCGTCACCCTAGGACAGGAATTGTGTTACTGGAAGAATCACCAGTGAGAAGTTTGTCCTCCCATTATTGCTATTGATCATTTTGGAGTATGCTGTGACACTAAACTACTCTACTGTTAAATACTAAAAAGACATCCCCTAGACTAAGCCTGAGTTGTCAGTGTGTGTGGGACTGTGTTTGTGTGACTGATAGCATCTGTACCATACTGGGAGACCTGGGCACATTCTCAGCAGCTCCTATGGGGGGTAAACGCTACACAGAAAAACACAGTGCCTGTGTTATAATATTTGAAGATTAATTTCTCCACAATGCTTACAGATACAGAGATCATTGAGTGTGCATGGTCTAAGCACAGGTTCACTATAAGGCCTGGTAAGCTGCACTATATTACATTTTTGTACATACGTAGGCTTATATAGACTTTGGCTGAACTTTTTAATTCTTACCAATGCGAGTTGTAAAAGGGGAAAGATTAATTTCTCCACAATGCTGATAGATACAGAGATCATTGAGTGTGCATGGTCTAAGCACAGGTTCACTATAAGGCCTAAGCTGCACTATATTACATTTTTGTACATACGTAGGCTTATATAGACTTTGGCTGAACTTTTTAATTCTTACCAATGCGAGTTGTAAAAGGGGAAAGATTAATTTCTCCACAATGCTGATAGATACAGAGATCATTGAGTGTGCATGGTCTAAGCACAGGTTCACTATAAGGCCTAAGCTGCACTATATTACATTTTTGTACATACGTAGGCTTATATAGACTTTGGCTGAACTTTTTAATTCTTATCAATGCGAGTTGTGAAAGGGGAAAGACTAATTTCTCCACAATGCTTATAGATACAGAGATCATTGAGTGTGCATGGTCTAAGCACAGGTTCACTATAAGGCCTGGTTAGCTGCACTATATTACATTTTTTGTACATACGTAGGCTTATATAGAAGTTGGCTGAACTTTTTAATTCTTACCAATGCGAGTTGTAAAAGGGGAAGGAGAGGCTGATGGGATATCCCAGCATTCCTGAAGCTCAGAATCATTACTGGTCCCCTCGGAGACACAAGAAGAAGAAGAGAATGATTTTCTTTTAGTATCACTCCACTGGTGGCTCTCACTCCAACATTGAGTCATAAAGCAGTCTTCATTCTCTGTCATGAGGCTGTACCCACTTTCAGTGCTGGAAATAGAACTAACATAATCAGTCATGATGTTTGATATAATGGTTCTGTTTTATCTACGTAGGACTAAGTGCTCAAAATGGGGAGCTTTAGCTGTGTTACCTGGGTGAGCCAAGATCTGGTCGGGGTGAAAACCTGCCACTGTCTGATTCTTCACTGCACTTCCACACTTGAGTGTCTGCAGCAATGGACTGAAGTAAATTTTCCTCTGTCACAAAATACAGTTGGACGGTAAGAAAACATTTTAATTAATTCACATTACATGTCTGAAAGTTAAGCATCCCCATAGGAACAAGGAAGTGGCTGGATTACCTGACCTCCAGACAGTCGTATCAGTTGAGTTAGGTTTTATATTTACTGTATATCTTATCATATCTCTTGAGCAACCTTTCTTAACCTTTTAACCCTAGAGGAACCTTTAAAACAATTTTCAGATCTCAGAGATCCCATGCTGATATTAAGTTATTGGGGGTCAGTGGGAAAATGCCTTGACCCTAGTGGTTAGGGAAGAATACCCCCTTTATAATGGAGGTCAGAATGCCACTCTTCCAGACAGCTAAAAAGATGATTGATGTCATACTGCTGACTCTGCCAAATGGCCTTGGACTGAAAACTATCAAGGCACCATTAAATGGGATGTCAATCAGCAACTCAGGGAACCCCTAGCAAACTCTTGAGGAACTCTGGTTGAGAATGGCTGCTCTAGAGACTGTAACAGGTCACCAGCATAGTCTCACATAGCCAGTCTATTCTTCCACATTATTGGTTGGTTTTGTGGAGATTGCATCATGCCCACAGGCATCAGGGACAATTGATTATCATCTTTAATCTGGGAAAAATCTAGAGCAGCCATTCTCAACCAGGCTTCTGTAGAGCCCTAGGGTTCCACCAGAGGTTTCTAGGGATTCCTTGAGCTGTGGCTGACTGGCCTCCCGTCTGATAGTGCCTACATTTTTTCGGGTCCAGCACCATTCTGACCACCACTATAAAGGGGGCATTCCTTCCACTGACCACCAGTGAATTCATTTTACAGGGATACCGATACTTGAAAATTATGTCAAGGTTTTCCCTGGGGTAAAACGGCTGATTTAAAGGGAGTGTCTAGTGCTTACTCTCTTACATTGATGGTTGTTTTACTGCCCCCATAGATTTCTTTCACACAGGAAGGGGGGAAGATTGTACTGCCCTTTGAAAAGCAATCAATGGTAGATCACTTTTCAAACCACGGCAGCCTGTTTCCAGGCGCTCAGGTGGTGATACTATCTCTTTCTGCATACCTGTTTTTCAATACCTAAGGTGATTTTTTTTTACCAATACTAATTTTAAATTAAACCATGGCGTCCATCTGGTGCAGTCCCCCAACTTCACTGTCTTGAGAGGCAAAACGTGGCCTGGCTGGTCTGTACCTACATGGGAGGATTCCAGGAAGGATTGGCACGTCCCTATCCTTTCCCTACCTGTCTGGAACCTTTCCCAGCTGATATTCACTGTCCCTGACAGACGGGTGACCTGTCCCTATTCTGCCCATTCACAAAATGCATGCCAAGCCTGGAAGCCAGGGTTAAATAGAGTCTGCCTGACCCAAGATGTCCACCAGAGTCACATGGAATGGCTGTATCCAAATGGATAGTTTCCCCAGGAAACCATAGAGGAGCCATATTCCTCCTGACTTCCTCTCCCTATGTAGTGCCGCTACAGTTGAGTGCCACCTGCAGTGGAGAAAGTAGACTGCACCTGCCTGCAGGTCACTTTAGAGGGAATGCAATGTTCTGTTACTCTGATGTTAGTGGGAGAATGCTCCCCTGTAGGAATGGGCCCCATTACATTGGTGGTGAGTAGGAAGAACTGTCTAGAATGCTCTTTACATTAATGGTCTACGGAAAAAATGCCCCTCTTGCTGATGGCTTAAAACTGGTAGATTACGTAGAAGGTACAATATGCCTCTAGCAACCTCTGAAGGAACCCTAGAATTCCATGGAACGTAGGTTAAGAAATGCTGCTCTAGTAGATTCTTGATATCAAAGACTTTACTTTATAGTCATTACACTGACAGCTTAGCTGAAAAGCAGAGCCAGGCTTGGCTTGTTACAAGAATGCAGCAGCAGTGGTAGATCTCAAGAGTCCCATATACTGTAGTCTCCATCTGGAATTTGACAGGTGGACAGACAACGGGAACTCAAACACAACCCCAAGAGAAATAAAGAAACCATCAAATTTAATTAGTTCCATGATCAGTCCTAGTGTTGTCATAGGATAAACGCATCCCTGTAATTGTAGTTCCAGCACATAGTTCACAGAATGCTTCATTGAGTAGTTAACATGCAGTTGTAGAAGTACAGTGACCACATTTATTATAATATCTCATAAATGAAAAGAGTTCTCCTTTCTCAAGAACATACAACCTATTACTGTGTAAGGTGATATAGAAGGGCCGACTGGTTGGTGTCGCTCTGACTGAGCTATGTGTTCAGGTGTGGTTTTCTATTCAGGAGATATTTGTTGCAAGTCACATGCAGAGAAGGTCTTTAGAGGAGAGGTAATAGTAAAGAATTTTAGAGACTACTTTTCTAGGAGTGTATGGGATTCAGGAAGCACTCATATGTTGATGGACTTTAGCTATTTAGCATTCCGGACCTTAGTAGAGCACAACAATACCTGAAAGAGTAAAATGTGGACTGCTGCTGGACCCCTCCGATAATGACAGAGGGTCATCTCCTGAGCTGCAGGATGACAGGAACCCCTTCTGGTCCTTCTTTTGCTCCTTGCACAGAGGTTGCATGAAACCAAGTCCTGACTCAGTAAGGATATCACCACGGGCATCATATAAACTCTCACAGGAGGACATCCAGACAGGTCCAGACCTGATGGAAGATCCAAATTTAGACAGGTGACCCAAGGCACTTAGCTGAAAATACAAACTTGCCCTCTCACACCGCTAAGGCGGTGGAAAAAGATCTTTCTAATGAGTCCTTGATAGAGGTAGAGACCTGCACTGAACCACCCACTCAATCTAAAATAGGAGTGTCGCCCACCAAAAAACAAAATTAGAGTTTGTTTACACTTATGATGCATTGGATTGCTCTTCAGTGGTTGTTTGAAAGGGAGTGAGGATACACTATGTCACCTAAATCCCTAACCCATAAAATCCCACACCAGCATCCTGCGACGGTATGCAATGCATGCGATTTCACTGTGGCAGTGGGTGGCCTCATTTAGTTTAATGTTCTGCCATTATTGCCTGCCAAACGTGACCCATTAAACTAAATGGGGCTGTGCTGCTACTTCAGAACAGCCTCCTGCAGTGGTGTTGTGTGGGATTTTAGGGGTTAAAAAACTTGATGAGGAGATGACAACAGAGGGGATATACCCTCTACTATTACATCACACCTCACGTGATTACTATTATATCACGCCTCGACTACTGTAACTCCCTCCTCATTGGCCTACCTAACCACAGGCTATCCCTCCTCCAGTCTATCATGAATGCCGCTGCCAGACTCATCCACCTCACTAACCGTTCTGTATCCGCCACCCCTCTCTGCCAATCCCTCCACTGGCTCCCAGTTGCCCAACGGATAAAATTCAAAACACTAACAATGACATATAAAGCCGTCCACAACACTGCCCCAATTTACATAACCGATCTTATCTCGAAATATCACCCAAACTGTACACTCCGCTCCTCACAAGACCTCCTACTCTCTAGCTCCCTTATCTCCACCCATGCTCGTCTCCAAGACTTCTCCAGGGCATCACCCATCCTCTGGAACTCCCTACCCCAATCTATCAGACTATCACCCACTCTACTTACCTTTAGGCGATCATTGAAAGCCTTTCTCTTCAGGGAAGCCTATCCCGTCCTCTGCTGATACTGGTATCCTCTACACTTCCAACCACTTCATCCCTCACAGTTTTACCTATTGTACCATTCACCCCTCCCTCCTAGATTGTAAGCTCCAAGGATCAGGGCCCTCAACTCCCTCTTGTATTGAACTGTATTGTTACTGTATTGTCTCCCACTACAATGTAAAGCGCTGAGCAAACCGTTGGCGCTATATAAATTCTGTATAATAATAATGATACACCCCTGTCCTCCTCTGCAGCTTAAGGGGGAGCAGGTGGGGGCAGTATATACAGGGCTCAGCCACATGTTTTTATTGCATCCCAACTGCAAGTATAAACAAGGCCTTAAAGTAAACTGTCACTTTTTAAAACAACCCATTCAGTTTAAAATAGAAATGAAAGGCAAAACATTTATGTATAGATATAAAATAAAAATACAAACACCTTTTTTTCCCTTTGCCTAATCCCGTGGCACTGAACACAAGCAAATATGCGGCCCCACTGGACTGGGCTTTTTTCCGTGAGGCTGCATATTTGCGTATCTGTCTTTGTGCTGGGAGCATGCCATGTGTGCCTCACTGAGATCCCCGGGTCCTGTACTAACGATCGGGACCCGGAACTCCCAATTCAGGGTCACCTGATCGCTGTGATAGCCTGTGATTGGCTATCACGATGAAGCCCACCCCCGTGATTTCACTCTCTGAATGGAGGAGAGAGACACTTTGTATCTCTCTCTCTTCTTGCAGAGAGAAAAAAAAACAACAGTGTGTAAAAAAAAAAAAAATAATAATAATAGATTAAAAAAAAATAGACCTAGATCAAGGTTTAATCTAGGTCAGTGCCAGGGTTTGTGTTTGGGTCAAGGTCAGGGTCAAAAGTCAGCTTCAATTTTTTTTGAAAAGAAAAATGCACACTATTGTTTCTGGGCTATACTACGGGTACAAACAACAACTAACATACACACAGGTGGTATCGCTGCGACCATCAGGAGCAGGAGAATTTTGGGGTGGTTGTTTTTTGGTGGTAGGTTTTAGTAGTAACAAGAAATATGCAGCTAAACTTAAAAAAAAAATTATATTTTTACTATTTTGGGCCAATTTTCATTTGACAATAAAAAGAAAAAATCAGGAGATATCCATTACTATTTACCACCAAATGAAAGCCCAATTTGTCCTGAAAAAACAAGGCATATTCCCCCTGGATGTACAAAGTACTTGTGATGATATGTATGGTTTTACGAACACATGTCAAAGTTGTAAAATTGTGCTTAGGCATTAACATTTGTTTTACCCTTAGGGTTAATATAAAATATACGAATGATTACACTGAAAAAAATGCCCAAACATTTAAACATTTTAAACAAATATTTAGATCTTTCTTCCTACAGCCACCCTCCAGCCAAACCTTTTTGTCACTTTTTTTGCAGTGAGGAAGAGTAAAAGCTGAACTAAAAGCAGATAATAAAAAGACACAATTTAATTAATTTATAAACTTATTTTTAATTGGAAACAGTGTAAGTATCTGCATTTGACTTGGTATTAGCTTCTTGCAGTCTCTGCACAGCAGGGCTGGAGTATGGCAGAAAGAAGCAGCACAATGAGTCAATCAGTTCTAGCACTGAGAAGAAGCATGTTGATAGATTGACAAAGTCATGAGCTTATCACTGGACTGCTTCTCTTTTCATTGTTTGTTCATGGGGTGGATGACCTGGGCTCAGAGGAAGTGGGTTGAGTGATGCTGGACATCCAGTGGCAGAAAAAAAGTACTGGTGGGGGGATGTGAAGTTACTGGCCATTGATACAAATAGGGATTGATTTAGTAAAACTGAGTGCAAAATCTGGTGCAGCTGTGCAGGGAGGTCTTCAGCTTGTTCAACTTAGCTTTGAGAATAAAACCCGGAAGCTGATTGGTTTCTATGCAGAGCTGTACCAGATTTTGCACTCTCCAGTTTTAGTAAGTCAATCCCATAGTTCAGGGGTGGGCAACTGCAGCCCTCCTGCTGTTGCAAAACTACAAGTCCCATCATGCCTCTGCCTCTTGGAGTAACTGTCAGTCTTCCCATCAGCCTTTGCCTCTGGGAGTCATGCTGGTAACTGTCATCTTGCAATGCTTTGTGGGACATGTAGTTCCACAACAGCTGGTGGGCCACAGTTGCCCACCCCTGCCATAGTTTTTACATCACATTTGGGGAATTTATACAATTCGGCCCTTTGAAAAGGCCCACTTTAAATTTAAAGGACACAGATGAGCTCAATATCCAAAGTGCAAAACAGATCGTTAAAAGAATAATTTACTTCTTGGAAACTGTCACAGAAAACAGATCATCACATATTCTAGCTCACCTTTCTGCAAACCAGCTGCCATCTTTTTCAAGGTCAAATGTAAATTTGCTGCTGCTTATGGAAGCCTAAAAAAAGAAGGACCATCAAGTGATATATGACATTTCTTTGTGCATTTAGTTTCTGTTATGTTGCCCTGTATGCTTTTGTGTGAGTGTGCAGTGAGGAGCACCTTAATCGTACCTTAGTCATACACATGAAATGTTTGGTTCCAGACTTTATTGGTGATTAGTATACGGCCATCCAGGGGCGGACTGACAACTCATGGGGCCCCCGGGCAATAGGAGATCATGGGGCCCCTGTGTCCTCGCCCACACTCAAATCACACCCAAAAAAAGCCTATGAAACTATGAAAGGTACCAGGGACATCTCATGGGGCCCCTACTGTCCCCGGGCCCTTGGGCAGTGCCCGAGTTCCCCAATGGTCAGTCCGCCCCTGCGGCCATCATGTTTTGGAAGATTATGGATCCTCTTTCTTTGAGGGTATAATACCAGGCTTTGCTGTGGAACCTATTGCAGGACTGTTTCAGAAGCTTTGGGTTTGATTTACTAAAAGAAAATAGGCTGTTCACTTTGCAGTGGAAGTTGCACTTTGCCAGTGAATTTGTCCAAGAGCTTATTGAATGTGGTGCTGTTTCACGGTGCATGTGCATGAAAAAAAGGATTGAGGTATGCACATGCAGCGCCGTCCTAGTTAGGCTGCTAGGTATATTTAGTTTCTGGCTTCTGCTGCAATTACAGGAGCAGCAATAGTTTGATTACTTACTGCTGACTTCTGGAAGAAGTTTCAAGAACTGCAGGAGGGAAGATTCAAATCTCCAGCCTGAATGTTGAACAGGACTTAGCCAATCCCTGGAAAAATATACCCAGATGGTGGCTGAGTTGCTGCTAAATAGTCTGGAGCCCTGAGCAGATTGTCTTTTTCCCCCTCTGGGGATGGACCTAAGCTGGAACCCTTTGGATTGAATATTGTACCACTTTGCGAGAGGTTGTACTTATGGACTGTCTGTGTACCAGGAACCATCTTATAATATTAAAATCTTATAATATAGAATAAAAAATGTTTTATATAGAGAGAATCCATAGAATAAACATATTGTGGCAGTGCGGTGTCCTGCCACGGTCAAAATAAAGCTGAAAACCCTGGATTCTCAACCAGGCAGGTTGAGGGGCTCCAGAGAGTTGACGTATTGCAGAGGAAACTGGCTTTTCAGTTTCCTCATTTATTCATTAAGTTTGTTTTGGGATCTGGAGCCTGGAGATTTCAAAGAGATCTGGGAGGGATGAAATCTCCAATCCGGGGTCCGTGTTTTGAGAACCCCCAGCACACTGATTGCACAGGTGTGTGCAGGCCTTTTTATAGAGTCCTAACCATGGTTCTGGGCTCCACCCCGGCAGAAAGGAGTCAGGAGGGCTCCAACCCGGCAGACAGGAGTCAGGAGGGCTCCAACCCGGCAGACAGGAGTCAGGAGGGCTCCAACCCGGCAGACAGGAGTCAGGAGGGCTCCAACCCGGCAGACAGGAGTCAGGAGGGCTCCAACCCGGCAGACAGGAGTCAGGAGGGCTCCAGGAGTCAGGAGGGCTCCACTCTGGCAGACGGGAGGTCTCTGCCTTGGAGTCAGGTGGAAGCCAGACTAGCTGTGTGCTAGTGGCTATAATTTGGGAAGAGTCTGCAGGAGACAGATATTGAACTGTGTACAAGCCAGGAGGCTGAATCTTTGTTGGTATTGCTTGATGGTGGATACCCCCTGCGTGGGAAGCATTTTTGTTGAACTTTTTCTTTTAAATAAAATTGGGCCAAAAGGCCCTTAAAGAAGCGAGTTGCTGTGTGCTTTAACAAGAAGAGCTCTACCATTTGAAGCGAGTTCCCACAATATATATGTAAATGCAAAAGCACAATTGCTATTTAAAAACAGGACGCGTTCATTTTACTATGTGTAGTATAGAATTGTGTGTGATATTATAAAAGATACCTGGGTTAAGCAGATAGGGACTTCAGTATGGCAGAGTTCCCATGGCAAGGAGACATTCAGCTACTGAGTGTCAGTATTACAGCAGTTCAGCCTGTTTACTGTGGCTAGCGATTAAAGCAATGGATTAAATACTGTAGGCCGCCTGCAGGTTGCAGTGGAACGCACGCCGGCTAATATGCACTACTGCGCATGTGCTGTGCGTTCCAGCGGCCATATTAAAGAGGATCATGAAGCAGGAAGTCGCTGACACAACAGCCCGTACAGCAAAAAGAGATCAAAGGGCTGAAAATGACCAAGAACCCACTAGACCTTAGGAGATTTATATTTAGTTAATAAAGGACCATAAACAGTACATAAATAAATACTTGAAAGGAGGAAGGTGCCCACAGTTCACAAATGCGCCCTACGTATAGGAACAGCGCCAACTAGTGACAGCTGTATCAATTGCAGACTAAATTATTAAAAGGCATAGTGAGTTGCTACCTTCTGCTTAGTATCAATTGATAATAAGGAATAAATTCAAATCAGTGAAGATTAGGGAATCATTTCTAATTACGGTGTAGATAAATACTTTTTGAATAGTTTTTAGGGAATTACTACATTCCTAACGATCGGCATATTCTCAAGAGCATTAGTAGGATAATTTATAATAAAAACTATATATACTAAACACTAAACGGATATTACCTATATCTTTAATATGATTTTTTTTTTTTTTTACTATTAGGTGGTATATATATATATATATATATATATATATATTTACAATTAATTATTTAATTTTGTATACCATAGATACATTTTATGGTTCACAGTTTATATGACTTTTTATTGCTAGTCGATCTTTAACCAGCGATTCTTATGCCAGTTTTACAATTAAGCTCTCAATTTTTTCCATCATTTCCATCCATTTTTTCCATGTGTATGTATGTATGTATATATGTGTATGTGTATATATATATATATGTATATTTTTTTTTTGTGTACATGTTTTCTATATATACCTTTTTTGTATGTGATTTTTGACATTAATATTATTACTATATGTATTGCCATTTTTATGAGTATTTTCATGTGTATTGCTATGCTCATCTACAGTATCACCACCTGTTATACCATCATGATTCATGTAAATATTTTGAGGGGAATTTGTATATGTATTTGTTTGTTTTTTTGATCAGCTCTGATGAAGAAGGGAGCACCCTTCGAAATGAGTTAGCCTTCATATACCCCCCTTTGGATTTACCTGTAACCCTGTGTGGATTATGGTTACTTATGCCTGTTATACCATCACTTTGTGAGTATATTTCCTTAATAATAAAATTAGTCACTATTTATTGAGGTAATGTGCAAGGTTTGTGCGCTCTCTTTCATCTTCTTCTACAGTGGACTGTTCCAGCCTGCCTTTACTTTTGCTCATACTACTTCATGGTCCCCAGCCATAAACTATGGACTGTTCCAGTCTGTCTTTACCTATGCTCATACTATCTAATGGTCCTCACCCGTGACCCGTTGACTGTTCCAATATGCCTTTATCTGTGCTCATACCACTTCATGATCCACATCCGTGAACTGTGGATAATTTCAGTCTGCCTTTACCTGTGCTCATACTACTTCATGGTCCCCAGCCAATAATTGTAGACTCTTCCAGTCTGCCTTTACCTGTGCTCATACTACTTCCTGGTCCCCAGCCAAGGATCGTAGACTCTTCCAGTCTGCCTTTACCTGTGCTCATACTACTTCCTGGTCCCCAGCCAAGAATCGTAGACTCTTCCAGTCTGCCTTTACCTGTGCTCATACTACTTCCTGGTCCCCAGCCAAGAATCGTAGACTCTTCCAGTCTGCCTTTACCTGTGCTCATACTACTTCCTGGTCCCCAGCCAAGGATCGTAGACTCTTCCAGTCTGCCTTTACCTGTGCTCATACTACTTCCTGGTCCCCAGCCAAGGATCGTAGACTCTTCCAGTCTGCCTTTACCTGTGCTCATACTACTTCCTGGTCCCCAGCCAAGGATCGTAGACTCTTCCAGTCTGCCTTTACTCTGTGCTCACTACTTCCTGGTCCCCAGCCAAGGATCGTAGACTCTTCCAGTCTGCCTTTACCTGTGCTAATACTACTTCCTGGTCCCCAGCCAAGAATCGTAGACTCTTCCAGTCTGCCTTTACCTGTGCTCATACTTTTTCATGGTCCCCAGCAGTGAACTGTAGACTCTTCCAGTCTGCTTTTGCCTGTGCTCATACTACTTCATGGTCCCCAGCTGTGAACCATTGACTGTTCTAGTCTGCCTTTACCTGTGCTCATACTACCTAATGATCCTCACCTGTATACTGTGGACTGTTCCAGTATGCTATTAACTGTGCTTATACTACTTCATGGTCTCCAGCTGTGAACTGTGGACTGTTCCAATCTGCCTTTACCTGTGCTCATACTACTTTATGGTATCCAGCCATGAGTCATGCACTATTCCAATCCACTTATACTATTACTACTGCTAGCAGGGGCGGACTGACCATTTGGAAACTCGGGGCGCTGCCCAAGGGCCCGGGGTCAGTAGGGGGCCCCATGAGATACCCCTGGTACCTTTTTTCATAGACTTTTTTGAGTTTGGGCAAGGACACAGGGGCTTCATGATCCCCTATGGCCCGGGGGCCCCATGAGTTGTCAGTCCGCCCCTGACTGCTAGCAATACTTTTCATTTTGGAGTACCCATATCATCCCAAATCCCAATTCCAAGTTTCTATCAACAAAAACAAATTCCAAAAAGACAGCCCCTATACAGGTCAATTAGCCAGAGTGAATGGACTGTTGTTGCTGTGTGCCTGGCTGTCTTTGCACTGTGCAACTTCCCTTGCAAAGTGAACAGCCTTTGCCTTTGGTAAATCAACTCTTTTGAGTTGAGACACAGAGGTGACTAGAAGCAAATAGCCTGTAAAGGATTTTGCCCCTTACAAGGGAATTTTTGTCTAGAGCTTTGTGAATGAGCTCTGCTGATTTTCATAATCCATTCATGTACAAGTTAAAATGCATTTTTTTTTTATTTTCTTCGGATGTGATTGGCTATTATTTGCAAAGTGACACTTCCCTACATTCACTAAGCCCTGGGGCAAATGCCCTTGCAAACCACAACTACTTTTTATTTCCTTTAGTAAATCAACACTTTTTTTCCTTTATTATTACTAGGAGCCCTGATCCCCCAAAATATGTTGTCTATATCTATCACCAGTAGTCTGAAACTGAACCTTTCCTAAGTACGCTTCACTCAGGGTTCTCTCTCTCGCACACACACAAGCTTCAAGCCTGAGGGACCAGCATTCAGCTTGGCATATTTGCACTGGCTTGTATGTATGTATATTAACCACCTCCAGCTTAAGGTACACATATATGCGGCCCTATGTAAACACTTTTCTGTGCTGAGAGCGTGCACCCTGCATGCTCCCAGCACACTTACTGTCGGGGACTGTAAAGCTCCTGATACATCAAGAGCTTTCCAATCATGTGACCACTGCAACTGCCAATGATTAGAATGCCCGCCTCTGCCTACACCTCACCTAAAACCTCTTAAAGGGTCAAGATGCAGCGGTGGGAAGGAGGTTAAGACAACAGGATATTTGTCCAAAATAAGGGACCATCTCCTCTTAGCCTGTCCCCAGAACACATGTTCCCATAGCCCATTGGAACATTTTCCCCTTCTTTGCTTCATTGATAGCCGTTAAATTTGATATTTGCTATAACTTCCTTTTTTGATGACAATACCCACCAGAAATATAAAGAAAGTGAATCTCAGTGGGGACACAGACAGTAATAAAACCATGGCAGATGTTCTAATCACTTTCAACTCTATCCAAAAGTAAAAAAGGTTTTAGTTATGAACATACTTTAAAAGTGTTACTAAATTTCCCCCTGCTCTAGGGCTTTGGAGGAAGGCATTAGTGGTGGGTGGCTGCACTCTTGAGGGACCCTAGCTAATCCCCAACAGAAGGCTTGGCAATGGGCAGGGATACCCTTAAAAGTGTTAGCACCTGCTCAGTAGCAGAAGTGTGGGAGGGGAGTTGGAGGAGAAGAGAGGCTGTGATGCAGGAGCCTGGGTGGGAGCCCAGACTGGAAGGGGCTCACCTCCAGGCAGAGGGACCTTGAAAGGAAGAAAGCTGTGGACTTTACTTGCCACCTGAAAAAAGACCACATTGGTGGCAAAGAAGGAGTGGCTCAACTGATAGGTCTGGTAGCAGCCACCTACCCAAAAGCAGCACAGGAGAATAACTCAGTGAATACTCCTACACCCCTTGGGCCAGAAAGCGGAGAGAGCATTTGGGTGGGGAACCTGACTAACTCTACATCAGGGACTGTTACAGCTCAAGTGACAGTTTTGGACTCCCTTGCCCCAGGATTCCTCCAGACAAGCTGGATAAGGAAGAGGATTTATCTGGGGTCTGGGGTGGTACACCAGGAGAGCCTGGAAAACTCTCCTAGAAGAGAAGTTCTGACTATAAGGCTTGTAAATAGTTCAGGAAGTTTGTCCTTAGTTACCATTGTGTTATGCCTGGCTGTGCAGGAGTATAGGGGAACCCAAATCTTCTAGTGACTCCTAAGGGGATAGTGCTACACCCCTTTTTAACCCCTACACATATATCCCACTGGTGTCTTTGAGGCAATGAGGAGGCATAGAGCTGGAACAGCAGCCGGTCTCGTACACATTGCTAGATAGGGATCAAGCTCGGGTACGTATTAGGGGGGGCTGCATACTGAAGAATTTTTACCTTCATGCATAGGGTGCATGAAGATGAAAAACCTTCAGGCTTTCCAACCTCTTTAAAATCTGTTTCATCACATGTAGCTATTGGGCAATGTCGTCACCTACACAGCTGAGCGAACTGATGTCCAGTAGAGAGTCGGCTTTTCCAGGTAAGGATAAAAGGGATGCTGTATCCATATGAACATCCTGTTCTGTAGATTGGGTGGAGGTAGCACAATCCTCTACAAATACCTGACAATGACAGGTGATGACACTTTCTTAGGGAAGGATATTAAAGAAAACATCAATTCATAAAAATACACTTTGCAAAAACAATCTATAAAGTATGCTTGGTCAAGAGTTTCAGCTGTTCAGCCAACCATTCAATGGGGAAGATGAAGGATCTCAGTGGCTCTGACCATGGAATGATTGTTGGTGGCAGACATCATGTATTACATTTGCACAGCAATTTTTTTTTATAAATAGATCCCAATGAGTGTGTGTGTGCATCTCGTGAGGGATTTAGCGTAATATTGCAGTTTTCTCGATGGAAAAATACAGTGAGATTTAGGGGCAAAGAGAAGAAGCAAGGTTTAAGATCTAATGTATGTATAGGGAGCAATATAAAATAGGATGGACAAAGTAAGGGTATGAGCAGACACTGGAACCGTAATATGCAAAAATATAAAAGGAAGGACTAAGTAATAAATGGTGGGAGTGCTATCAGTATTTATATCACCAGCATTTTACTTACCAAGCTACGGGTCTCCCTAAAAAGAAATGAGAAAAAAAGTTGTACAGGCACAACCATCACAGATGCAAGTATCCCGATAAAGATACTTTCCCATGTAACCAGAGACTGTAGTCCTATAACAGAGCTGAAACATAAAAAGAACAATTCCAACTTATTGATCAGTTACTGGACAACCCAAATATTTATAGAAATATTTTTTTTACCTGAACCCCAGAACCTGAACAAACATAATAGGAAGGATATATTTATAAAAAAGAAAATCAGAAACATATTAAGACAAGAATAATTATAATGATGAGCATAATAAACAAGAAGGATATTTTTATAGCAAGTTCTTAGGGCAACCACAGGCAGACCACTGTCTGGCACTGATTCCCACACATGATGGCACAGTACTTTCAGCAAGGACAAGGTATGTGTGGATTAGTCAGGACTGAGTTTGGGAGCTACAGATTATGGGTAGGATTTAGGGTTTAACTATTGCATTAAGTTTTAGGAAGAAGCAGAATCCGGGGGTGCCATTAAGCTGCAACACCTTTTCAAAATGAATTATGTGCCCCTTTATATATCTTTCACATAGAATTTCCAATGATTTCCCCCTATGGGTTGGGTATCTACCCAAAAAAGGTTAGCAGTTGGCACTAACCTTCCCTCTTGAATTCCAGTGGCCCCATACCACAACGAACAGATTGTCATGTAGAGATGAAGTGCCAATGCACAACAGGTGACTCTCTGAACACGTGTAAACCGGCTTTGTGCAGGACGCCACCACACAGACATCCAGAGGTGCCAGTCTGTAAAACCGAGGAAGATCTGCTGGGGGAATACCTGGGAGAAGCTGCTGAACTCTTGAGGACCTGAAAAATACAGAACATGGGATTAGACCAGCGTTTGCTTGAATACACATTATGAGTTTGTAGACAGGTGCCGTCTGTGTTCTCTACTGTAGGTGGTGCTCAACCTGAGTGGTACCACAAGTGGACAGGAAGTCAGGGGAAACAGAGTTTCTCTATGGTTTCCTGGGTTTTGAAAGCAGGGTTTTAGTTGGCTAAGCTGCATCCAGGTGACCCCTGTTGGCCATCTTGGGTCAGCAGAACCTCTATAGGTCCCTACCTTCAGGTTTTGGCACGCTTATGTGAAGTGGTTAGAGTAGGGAGAGAGACCAAGTCTGTGAGGGAAACTGATTAGCAGTACGGAAAGGTTCCACATGAGAAGGGACAGGATAAGGCTCTCCCATCCTTCAAGGAAGCCTCCCTGTTGGGACTGTCTAAGCCGTACTCAGCCCTCTGAAACAAATGCTGTTGGCATACCGCCTCTCTCTGCTGTGAGTGTTTGTATCAGGAATGGACTTGCCAGTGGTGGTGGGACTCACCTGCCTTGTGGGCTGCAGTACCAGGGCTGGCCAGCGGGAGCTCTCAGCAACCAGAGGCTCACTCCTGCAATGAGCCATCACCTGAAGCTGATTACAACAGGTGTATTTAAGGAATGGCCAGGCCTGTGATCAGGGCCTTGTGTTTTCCCACGGGCCCCTGTACCTGCATCCTGTCTGCTTTCTGCCTGATCCAGATTCTGCTTCGATCCCTGACTCTGCATGAACTCCGCCTGTCCTGACCTTGGCTATTCCTGACTACTCTTCCACCTGCTCCTTGTGCCCTGCCTGCCCGTTTGCTACCGACCCGGCCTGCCCGACTACGCTTAGTATTGTTTCTATTGTTATCTGTTGGAGGTTTGGGTTGGTTTGTTTGCACTGTGTTGTTGTTTAGTCTTGCACTGCGTCTATGTTTTGTTTAGTCTTAATAAATTGTCTTATTCACACTATACCTGAAGTCTGCGTTTCCCTGTGTCAGTCCACACATTTCTGGTCATACCCGGATCCCTAACAGTTTGCCTAGCAGTCCTCTCCCACCTGGGGTATTTGTAATTTGGCAGTTTCTTCAATACAATTTATGCAATTGTTTCAACTGGATTATATGTCTTTACTGCCACCACACCTTGCTGCACCTTCCCACTAGTTGACATAGTGTGGGTGAGCCAGTCACGAGCCTAATAATAACAAGTGGAGCTCTAGGGCCAGGTCACATGCTTGCTATCATTGTTATGGTGATGGCGACCACCTCACCCCCACTATGGAAACGCATGACTCTGATCCAGGAAAGGAGGCATGCGGGATCCCACATTTTAGGAGAAGATGGAAGTTTGTTTTCTTCAGATCTTGTCCACCTCCCACTTTCTGGCATATTGCTGAAATTGCTGAAAACAGGCCTCTGATGTGAAGAGGAGACTGTGTGATTGGTGGGACCCTGTTGTGAGGGGGGGAATATAGTATAATGTGCTGGGGAAATGCTTATAGGAGGCCTCTGACATATGGAGGCAACTCCAATGTGATAGGGGCCTCTGACATGATGAGGGACCTCTGAGGTGAAGGAAGAACTCTGAGGTGAAGGAAGGACTGTGACGTGAAGGGGGGGGGGGGGGGTATAATGTGCTGGAGAAACCTCTAATGGGATGGAGGACTTCTGATGTGATGTTGATTTCATCAAGGCAGTTGTGTGCATTGCCCCGGGATTAGGTTTCCCATTGATAAGTAACATTTTGATTTTTTATATTTTAGACTGGGGTGCCTTTGTATTTATAAAGGGTGCCATGACTGAAGAAAAGCTAGATTAGACCAATGATTCAGGGGATTGTTGCTGCATTCAAAACAGTGCATTAATCTTGATGTTCAGTTTGGCAGATTGTTCCTGGTTAACTACACAAGTAGATATAGCTACACACTAACTAACTAACTACGTGGAAAAGGGGGGGGGGGGGGTAGGAGAACCTGTCCCTTTGTCCATTTTGGGTGAAGTGATAGGTTCTCATGAAAAGACAGCCCCCCTCTGTCCGTTGACACCTTTATTGTATTTGCTTGCTACCCCTCTAAATAATTGGGAGTGGGGAAAAAAAAAGAATCTTGTGAGTAGAAGTTCTGTGGGGTCTACAGCTGCTCCAATACCCAATCCAGTGTTGTACAGAAGTCCTTAACACACTGCATGGCTAATCTTAAATAAGATACAGAGATACAACAGCATAGGCCACAACAAGTTTCATTATTGTCGGCGAAGAACAGCAAAATTAAGTTGTGGTGGGCTCAAGATCAACCTACTGGATGCCTGAAGAATAGAAGAAATTTGCCTGATTTGATCATCCTAGAGTTCTTTTGTGACATGCTAAAGGTAGCGTCAGACTCTAGAATACCAGCATTGGACCCATCTTGTCTTATGTCAGATGGTGAAGCTGCTGTAATAGAATCTTTCTTTGGGGCACATAAGGCCCTTTAATACAATCTGCCATTTCACAGCATACCAAATAGTGTAGACCTCCTGTATGGATACTATCTAGATCAGTGGTTCTCAACCTGTGGGTCGCGACCCCTTTGGGGGTCGAACGACCCTTTCACAGGGGTCACCTAAGACCATCGAACAACACATTTCCAATGTGTAAAGAGTAAATAATTTTATGGTTTGGGGTCACCACAACATGAGGAACTGTATTAAGGGGTCGCGGCATTAGGAAGGTTGAGAACCACTGATCTAGATGGACCTAGAGTTATCACTGATTTACTGTCCCTAAAACTGGCTTTTCTCTTTTCTTTCTATATTCTTCTTGTCTCTTTTCTCTCTTAGCTGGGTTCATATACTGAGTTATACGGGGGTATTTCTTTTTGTTCCTCAAGTCTCACCCAGGGATACCTCCCTTGAAACTAAGTTTTTTTCTGTATGTCTATCTCAGTAACAAATGCTGTTGATCCTTATATCTTTTCGATGTCTGGAGCTATTTATATTTACTCTTGTGGATCACTTTCCTCATTTGTGATTTCTGTATATTTACTGACATGTATATGTTATCACTATTCCTTTTACTCTATCTTGTAAAACTTAATGCAAGATGCAATAAAGATAAATTTGCCTCTAAAGTTATCACTGACTGCAGGGGCGGACTGACAACTCATGGGGCCCCCGGGCAATATCGGGTCATGGAGCCCCTGTGTCCTCACCAACCCTCAAACCACACCCAAAAAAACCTATGAAAGGTACTAGGGGCATCTCATGGGGCAAAAATATGGCAGTATGACAAGAGCAATACTGCCTACAAAAAGTGGTTAATTGAAAATCCAAGCGGAGTAATATAACTGCATTCAATAGCTACAAAAATATTTTATTTGATCCCATGGATCATAAAGAGGTTAGACATGGACACGGTGAACAAATCATGATAAAAATTACAAAATTAAAAAACATTCGGCGTCTTCAAATCTGGTTATTTATCGGCAAGCAGGAATCCACACAAGGCAATGAAGTTTCCTAACTACGTGATCATAGATTTCCATATACAGTTGTGACCAAAATTATTCAACCCCCAATGCTGTAAAGGGGTTTAGGGACTATAGTGTACATTTGGAATTGTATTCAGAATCAAATCCTACAAGGACGTTGTAACTACCCAAATGCAACTAAAATGACATCAATTGTTTATGTAATACAGTAGTAAATGGTTCTTATGTGGTTTCTTCATTGCCACAATTATTCAACCCCTTAAAGACTACCACTCTGAAGAACAGAGGTTCATACAGGTGCTTTCCATCAGGTATTGAAAACACCTGTGGATGTCACCGAGCAGCAATCAAGCATAATAAGCACCAATTAGGCAGCTTTAAAATGACTGTGATACTCAGCTCCTTCTAGACATTTACTGGTGTGGTTACAAACATGGTGAAGGCAAGAGAATGGTCCAGGAAGACAAGAGAAGAGGTGATTTCTCTTCACAGGAAGGGCAATGGCTATAAGAAGATTGCAAAGATGTTAAACATACCAAGAGACACCTTAGGAAGCATCATTCGCAAATTCAAGGCAAAGGGCACTGTTGAAACGCTACCTGGTCGTGGCAGAAAGAAGATGCTGACTTCGATGCTGTGCGCTACCTGAAGCGTAGAGTGGAGAGAAGTCCCCGTGTGACTGCTGAGGAACTGAGAAAAGATTTGTCAGATGTGGGTACAGAAGTTTCAGCCCAGACAATAAGAACACTGCGTAATGAAGGCCTCCGTGCCAGAACTCCCAGGCGTACCCCCTTGCTGTCTCCAAAGAATAAGAAGAGTCGACTGCAGTATGCCAAAAGCCATGTGGACAAACCACAAAAGTTGTGGGATAGTGTTCTGTGGACTGATGAAACAAAATTAGAACTGTTTGGGCCCATGGATCAACGCTATGTTTGGAGGAGGAAGAACAAGGCCTATGATGAAAAGAACACCTTGCCTACTGTGAAGCATGGTGGAGGGTCAATCATGCTTTGGGGCTGTTTTGCTTCTGCAGGTACAGGGAAGCTTCAGCGTGTGCAAGGTACCATGAATTCTCTTCAGTACCAGGAGATATTGGATGGAAACGTGATGCAGTCCGTCACACACCTGAGGCTTGGGAGACGTTGGACCTTTCAACAGGACAATGATCCCAAGCATACCTCCAAGTCCACTAGAGCATGGTTGCAGAGGAAAGGCTGGAACATTTTGGAGTGGCCATCGCAGTCACCAGACTTAAATCCGATTGAGAACCTCTGGTGGGACTTAAAGAAAGCAGTTGCAGTGCGCAAGCCTAAGAATGTGACTGAACTGGAGGCCTTTGCCCATGAAGAATGGGCGAAGATACCCGTAGATCGCTGCAAGACACTTGTGTCAAGCTATGCTTCACGTTTAAAAGCTGTTATAACTGTAAAAGGATGCTGTACTAAGTACTAAGATTGAATGTCACTTGGGGGTTGAATAAAACTGATAATGCTGTGAGCACAGAAAAGACATTTGTGGTTATTTCATTATAACTGTTATGTTATATTTGTCTGACCTACAAGTGCCTCTTTAATGTAAATGTAAGCAAGATGACTGAATGATCAAAAGCAATGTCAAACTGGCCAAAACACTCAATTTCAGTGGGGGTTGAATAATTTTGGTCACAACTGTAGTTCCACATAGTATCTGGATAGGGAGATCATTCTTCAAAGATATTCTTTGGTAAACACCACAATAAACGGAATGACTTCCTATAATGGAAACCAAAGAAGGATCATAGTAGTGGAAACATAAAGAGAATAATGTATGCACAAGTCATGCATACATTATTCTCTTTATGTTTCCACTACTATGATTTATTTATTTATTGTGGTGTTTACCAAAGAATATCTTTGAAGAATGATCTCCCTATCCAGATACTATGTGGAACTATATGGAAATCTATGATCACGTAGTTAGGAAACTTCATTGCCTTGTGTGGATTCCTGCTTGCCGATAAATAACCAGATTTGAAGACGCCGAATGTTTTTTAATTTTGTAATTTTTATCATGATTTGTTCACCGTGTCCATGTCTAACCTCTTTATGATCCATGGGATCAAATAAAATATTTTTGTAGCTATTGAATGCAGTTATATTACTCCGCTTGTAATTTTCAATTTACTACTTTTTGTAGGCAGTATTGCTCTTGTCATACTGCCATATTTTTTACTATGTATCTTGGGTTTATAAATCCACATTTATTTTATAAGTGAAACGGAGATACAATTTTGACACGGATATACATGTCATATTAGGTGGCTTTTTTCTTTTTGTTTGGTGCATCTCATGGGGCCCCTTACTGACCCTGGGCCCTCGGGCAGTGCCCAAGTGCCCAAATGGTCAGTCCGCCCCTAACTGACTGTATCTAAAATACAATATTGCACAAAAGGTAACAATAGAACACTTACAGGTTGCCAGAATTTCTTTCTCCACTCGTCCTCCATTCCGCTCATTCTCTACAGACAGCCAGTCATTCACCAGGAAGAAGTAGAGGAAATCGGTCTGCTTGTCCCATACAGCAACATATTGCAGAAGAAACCATGATGGCTCCAATCCTAGACACACAACAAGTCACTAAAAACCTTTATGATGTGGTCATTTGTTCTGGTCTATGGATGGTTTAGGGTATTATGGTTAGTTTTCAGTTTCTGTATTGTATGTCTTAAAAGGAATGTGTAGTTTTTGTGGAATGTGTAGTTTTTGTTTTTTTTCATAATTTGTTTATTCACTATATATATGTAGTTTATAAAGAATTTTATATACTTTATTTCTTTTTAATTGTGTCAATAAATTGCACAAATCATGTTTTCATATATATCCCTTGTGCATCAGCTTTCTGCAAGTTCTTTCTATTCCTACATGACAGAAGAGATCAGGTTGCACAGATTACTGAGACTGGGAATGTCTGGTTTAGTCAGTTATATACAGGCTGACAACAAGCATGCATGCAGCGCTGGGCTTCCATATTAGAAAGCTCAATGTCCTTTATCAACAGAGTATAGGTCAGGGATGTGACTTATAATACATTTTATGTGGAAAATAAAGATTTTATAGACACCAGTTAATTAGTTGTATACATCAGTTTATAAACCCGTAAGAAAAAAAAAATAAAGCTGACTAAAAACAAAAAATTAGACAGAACATTTACAGAGTTTAAATCTGAATCAAACCATGTCAGTTTTAAGTGCAAGTAACTGTCAACTGTTTGACGTTTGGTAATTGCTTAAAGTGTATCTAAACCCAAAACCAAAAATGTAATGTGCTGCAGATTACCTGTCCTTGGTGTGGTGCCTGCATTTGTTTTCTTTTTTTTCAAGATTATTTTGCTTATTTGTACCTGGTAATCCTGCAAATAACACACTTTCTGTCCCTGGTTATCTACATCACTCATCCACTGTATCTATGGAGAAGTCCATGGTTGTCACCATGAGCTGCTTTCTTGGTATGGCTGGCAAACATGTCCATATCTCTTCATTTCCATCACATAGGGGGCAGGACAACTGGATATTTACAGATGATAGCTAGCCAGGAAAATAAACTTCAGCACAGCACACAGGAAATGACAAGATTACTGCATTTCTGGCAAGATCAACAGGTATTTTCTGTATTTGCTGAAGATGTTTTCAACTTGGAAAATAGAAAATGAATGCAGCCACTGCATCTAAGGACTGCAAGCTTAAACATATTGCATTTTCGTGTTTGTGTTTGGTTATCCTTTAAATGTAAAATTGAGGTTTTTTTTTTTGTTTTTTTTTAATAATCTTGTTTTTGTATTTTCCATTGTGTTAATATCTGCTCATCTATTGGCAGTTACAGTACCAGTGTTGTCATGCCACACACGGATCTTCCAGATCTCTCCCAAGTTGGTGTCTGTTTCAACCTGGAACATATTGACGCTTCCTGTGGTTAAGCCTCCCTTGCTGTTCAAGTGACGGGCTCCACTTTTGTTTAACCCATACAGGTTTATGCCAACATGGGCAGTAGTGCCTGAATGATAACCAAACAAAAGAAAAGATTAGTATATCAAAATACAGAACATCTTATAAGAACATTTTGAAATAATATTTGGCTAAAATTGGTTAACTCCAACTTCAGCCAAAACTGTAGCACATTATGGATACACATGCCACATGGTAGGTGTGTATACCATAGACAGTCAGTACATACCTGCCTCCCTCCTCCAGCCTGTCTTCACCAGCACCCAGTATCTGTACTGGCCTTGCGGACCACACAGAGGAATGGTTCCTACCCGTGACAAGTCCAGATGGTCCAGCTTGTGCGTTATCAGGACCAGCAGCAGATATAGAGATAGGAGAACCAAGCAGCACAGCAGTGCAAGTGTCCACCGACGGGGAGACTAGACACACAAAACAAGGTTTGGCAGGAATAAATGGAAAATAACTTTTATAACAGCATCATGTATTATATTCAGCCAATCCATTCACTCAGTGAAACTGATATTCCTCATTGATGCATAGCTCCCAGTCCCAACTATTCAGCATTTGGAGAGACTGTCTCTTATTTTTGGACCCCGTTCCTCTGTCTGTCTTTTCTCCTCACATGTTTTTTTTTGTTTAGTTCTGGTCAGGGGCGGACTGAAAACTCATGGGGCCCCCGGGCAATAGGGGATCATGGGGCCCCTGTATCCTTGCTCTAATTCAAAAAAGCCTATGAAAAAGGTACCAGGGGCATCTCATGGGGCCCCCTACTGACCCCGGGCCCTCGGGCAGTGCCCGAGTTTCCAAATGGTCAGTCCACCCCTGGTTCTGGTGTGGAGTTTGGCATTCATAAATGTATATTACCAAAGTCTTACTAGCTTTGCTTTAAAAAATAAACAACAAAAAAAGCCTGTTTACAGAGCTCAATAGCTCATGCTGAATTTTGCACATTTCTGAATGGTCAGTTCTAAGAGTCCAGGTAAAGGGAATCATGTTCCAATCACATTGTTTCACTTGGTTTTAGAGGGGACCTGCTAAAAGTTCCTTAGGCACTGTACTAGGAGATTACAAATTCTTAAAATTCCACATTACCATCTTCCTGCATATAAATAATATTAGATAGCAGGGGTTGACTGACAACTTATGGGGCTCCCGGGCAATAGGAGATCATGGGGCCCTGTGTCCTTGCCCAAATTCAAAAAAGCCTATGAAAAAGGTACCAGGGGCATCTCATCGGGGCCCCCTAGTGACCCCGGGCCCTCGGGCAGTGCCGAGTTTCCAAATGGTCAGTCCGCCCTTGTTAGATAGTAACATTAAGGGAGAAATCAAAAAAAGTGAGAATGAGGTAACCTCTTCTACACTTTGTCACATGTAAGAGTTGTTTTTTTACAGTCTCCACTCTGCTTTACTTTATATTTTCCACCCTAAATATGACAGTATTGGTATATTAAGGACTAAAGTAATTTGTACTGTGGGACTTACCAATTCCACCCTGATTAAAGAAGTATTCAAGGTTTGCTATATTTTTACTTAGTTACATTGGTTCACCTTAGGTCAATGTAACTATGTACAGTAAATAGCATACCTGACTGATAACCCCTGAAAGCTGTAAACCACTGAAACAGACACCACTACTCCAGTGATCTCCATCTGCTCCCAGGTTCCGGGCTGAGTGCTTTGTGATTACAGTAGGTAGGCTGATCACCACAGGTATCATTCAGAGAATGCTGTACATTCTAGAGAGCATGGCATGATGGGAGCACAAGGTGGACAGCATGATGTCAGTGCCCTGCCTCTTCACCTCATCCACTCAGCAAATGCTTTGCATTCATTCAGAACACGCAAAGCATTCTCTGAATGGCATCCATGCATCAGGCTGGCCACTTAGCATGGGACCAAGAAGTAAGTGTAGATTACTGGATTGGAGTGTCTACCTCAGTGATTTCTGGCTTCCAGGGGCATCGGCCAGGTATTGTATATACATAGTTACACTTGTCCAGTGATATGGTAAATACATAGTTTACATTGGAATTTTTCTTTATAAAAACATATAAAAAAAATATTAAAGCGACTTGAGAAAAGAATGGGGGCAACCATTGCAGGTCCTCTATTAAAATGTTGTGTCTGGCTTCTAATATGTTTTGTAATTACTTTTAGATATCTTTTTGTCTGTGTTTGCTCCAGGACACAAAAAGTATTAAAGCCAAAGCATCAGCATAACATCTAAGAAATCAATATCCTCAAAGGTCAGCAATAGCAGCCTGTATACCTTTCCCATGACATGATCACTTTAATGAACAGTAATCCTACTCACAGGGGACAACCATATGAGTTGGTGCGGAGGCACAAACAGACTTGCTCCAAACAGAGTTAGATGCTGGGCCCGGCACACGGCTTGATGGGGAAGGCTGGCATTGCTTGGGCTCATGCCATCTGTTCTCCATGTCAGGCTGGGCACATGGAAGTATTGGCAGAGGCTGGAAAAGAGGCTGACAGAGACTGCAACAGAGCTGGTAGAGAGTAGACTTGTGATATTGATCTGGTACTCCAGCAAGGACCCACTGAGACACCAAAATACGAAGAAAAGAGAAAACAGTGCTACGCCGTTAGTATTCAGGAATTAAATTGTCACACCTCGTACATGTATACAATAGTTTATTAGTTGTATGCATTTCCTGTTAATTAAAGTTAACATTTGGGCTACTATAGTTAATAAATAGGAAGAATTTAATAATAATAACTGTTATAAAGAACAGGTAGGGATGCGTTTATACCTCCAGGTACTGGGAAGAAGCAGAGTAAGATTCTGAGTATTCTCCTCATCCAATGAGAACTTCAATGTATGAATCTTTTGCATGTCAGTAGTATTGAAGAACTGAAGGGGTCCATAGGAAATTAACAACCCTGGGGACTCTTCAAGTGACCAGTCTGACTCTAAAAATATAAAGTAAATTTTATGACTTTTTGAGTTTCTTTACAAAGCAAGATTTATTAAAAAAAAAAGTCTTATGACATTATTAACAGCAGAGATATTAAAGTAGTATTAAACCCTGAAAGCAAAACTGCCCTTTACATATAGTGTAAATATTCTTTGTGCCCCCAATCCTTATCTTTTGATGATTTTTCCCATTGGGAGTGCACCTTGTACACAGCAGTAGGGCTGCTGACTCTGTGCCTGGCTGGTGCGTATTCAGAAGTGTCCGCTGGAGCCGTCTGGCTGACGCATGCTCAGTAGTGGCTCCTGTCTTCCTAAGATGTAGTACTGTGCCTGGCTGGCACATGTGTGTGGTTGGTGCCAGGGCGGACTGACAACTCATGGGGCCCCCGGGCAATAGGGGATCATGGGGCCCCTGTGTCCTCAACCACAACCAAAAAAGCCTATGAAAAAGGTACCAGGGGCATCTCATGGGTCCCCTACTGACCCAGGGCCCTCGGGCAGTACCCGAGTTCCCTAATGGTCAGTCCGCCCCTGGTTGGTGCATGCACAGTACTATTCTTAGGTTTTCAAGCACAGTACTGCTCATGTGCCATCAAGGTGCATTGCCTGATCTCAGATAGACAGGAGCCAGTACTGTACATGCACCAGCCGGGCAGCATTGTGTACACTCCAGCCAGGCACAGTCCCAGAGTACAAAAAGGCAGCGGCCCCTACTGCACATGGACCAGCTCGGCAAAGCACTGGAAGATCCTACTGAGCTTGCGTCCCACACACAAGTCACCAGGCAGCAGGAGCACACACGTTGAGGTGTCACCAGGGAGACATTGGAGATAAAGGAGACACCCTTTAGGCAAAAACTTAACAGAGGAACGTTTCATGGGCTGGTAAAGCAGTAAATGCTGCAAAAAACTAGGATCGGGGAGCAATGGTCATAAAGGTTTGCAGCTACATTTATGCATTTTTTTTCTAGAAGGGTTTATTATCACTTTCATATTGTTTTCATAGGGAAGTAAAGGTAGATTGACATAGTGTATTACAGTGCAAATGCATTTTATCATAAACCAATAAGATTAAACTATAACATAAATTTAGGTCACCAGTCATGGATAAAGGAAAATAGAAGAGCTGAGAGAAAATGCTGCTGTAGGCTCCCTTCAGTGTGAAACGTCCAGGCATTTGGCCATAAAATCTATGATTAAAAGGGGGTCAGCCAATCTGAAGTGGTCTCCATCTTCAAAAGAGGTCATGTAACAAATTGCTAGATTTTTGGTCAAGTGACCGGCACTAGATGGACTCATTTTCTCCAGGAAATCTAAACAATCTAAATCTAAACAAGTGTATGGTTTAATCCCATATGAGCCGCTGTTAATTTGGCCAAGTTCTTCCCAAGTGGATTGCCCCACAGCCAGGCACATGATCTCAGTCACACTTTTTCCCAATAACCAGCCTAGGGGTGTTTTTGTTGTTTTTACTTTTGGAGAACTTGGATAGCGATGAGGGAATTGAGTGGTATACTTCAAAAACCGAAAAACATGTCCAGGTTGAGGACAGTGATCTCCTTTCTATACAGCTGAAGCAGAAACCTTTGCATATAGCAAACTGTGGACTTGGCTTGTAATAGAAGCAGTTAAATGCAGGCTTCTTTCTTAAGAGCAATAAGAGCAGGGTCCTTTACAGAGAACTAGATAGACTAACTTCTTCAGAACACCAGCCAATTTTTTTTAAGCAAACACACTGCTAAGATCTTTCCCAGCACTCTGCACTTACTCTGTACTTACAGAATGTCCAGGAACAGTTGGTTGCCTCCTTCCAACTTCCAAGTGACACCTTTCTCCAGTGATACTAGACTAGATCAGACAGCCCATCAGTCAGTTCTCTGTAGTCTCAGTATCCAGGCACTCAGGTTGCCCACCTGAGGCCGCACAAACAGAAAGCCCGTGGCAGTTTTGCCCTGGAGGGCAGCAGCCCTCCAGGCTGGACTGATCCTCTGCAGGGAAAGACCCAGAGGCTCTATCTCTCAGAGTATTTATGCAGTTACACAGATGACTTCAGGGCCCTGGGGTGCATAAATATTCATGCTTCCACCTGCATAGTCCTTACACCTATGTTTTGAAAAATGTTACCACTCTCTGGAAGCAGAGGGAGCTATCAGACTAGCAGCAGCTGAGAACACTGAACAGACATAACTAACCAGCTGCACTGGTTACAGAGAGCACAGCTAGATTTGCCTAACACACTAATTACAACCACACTGGTTACAGTGAGGCAAGCTAAATTTACATAACTAAACACACACAGCTCCACTTAACACAGTGAGCCAGCACTAAATCTAACTAATCCTACTACCTATCTAGCAGGGTATTACTCAAGGCAGAGGAGCTTTTCTCCCATGAAGAAATGGGTGCTTTTCCTGCTCTATTCCTGCATGAGTTCTAGTCTGGATCAGTAAATCAGTAAGATGTAGTAGAGACGTAACCATAGATTGTGGTTAATGATCGGATTGGCTACATGTTATTTTACAATCTCTGATCTGCCATTGCCAAAAGTGTTATATGCCTGGCAAGTCCTATTAAAAAAAACATATTTTATTAGTTCAAAGTTCAGTGATTTCAGCTGGAACCTACACCAGCTTTATTCAGTATATGCATTATTCCTCCCAAGACCCTGCTTACCATTAAGTTGCGTAAAACTAATGTGCAGATGCACGCCTGCCGACCTGTATGCCATGCTGGTAGTTACTGTGACGTTGGCACTACCCCTTGGTGGTATGAAGGCTGATACTGGAGTTAGAGTAACCTCCTCTTTTATAGGCAATGCCAGCTGGATTGCCAAATCTTCAGGCAAGTCTTTTACAGGTACAGGCTCACCATCAATGGATATAAACTCCAAGGCAGCCAACTGGGAGGACATGGTAAGGTTTGGAGGAAGTCCAGTAGGAAATGGGTTATCTTCTAGCTCAATGGTCACTTGAAGAAGTTCTTGGTGACTTGCCAATGTATGTAACAGACTTTGAGGTTTAGAGGTTTGGCACAATGACGAAGAAGTGGAGCACAAGGGAAGTTTGTTTGGAACACGTGTCACTTTTGCCTGAACACCAGGAACGGCAACAAGTAGGGGATCTTCACCTTTAACACGTGACCTTCCAAGTGAAACTGTCAGGGTCTTTGTCAGATTAATGGCAGTAAGAGACAGGTCATCTGAATTCAAGGAGGCCAAAACACCACCTGAAAAAAACATGTAAAATTAAAAACTATTAAATAAATATACATACTGTAGTACTCATTGAATGTAAAAAGTGGAAATAAAAAAGTAAAAATTCAAAAAGTATCAAATCTCTCATTGTTATCTAGGAATGTCATCTCCAAATAATTTTTTTGTGTGGATTCACATAAACATGTGAGTGACCAGGATCATCCAAATCTGTATTTATTTAACTCATGAATCTGTAGCAAAAAACATTTTTTAGTTTTGAATAGAGTAGAAACTGGTTGGAATTCATATGAGAGTTTTATTTCCTGTCCTGGAGAAACATCAGGAAGTGAGTGGAAATCTCCTCAAAGTGAGGGGACAGTTGTCATCTGAGTAGGTGTAGATGCAACAAGAATACCTCCACTGCCCTTCTGGGGGCAGCTGAACAACTTTGGAATTTCCATTACTCTGTTAGGTTACAATGGTCATCAGGACAAATAGAAAGTCTGAAAATGTTCTAACCCTTTCACACTCTATTCAAAACAAGTAAAAACTAGTTTTGCATACATTTTAATCACTAATATAAACACACATTGTACGGTAACTATTGCTGAGTTTGGTAAAGATGGGAATGCATTTACCTAATAAAGTGAGGATGTCCTGTGGTACATCAGCTTCCGGTCCTTGTCCCTGGTCAGCCTTCTCATTCAGCACATGGATCATCTTCTCTGTGGCATCCAGAACATTTAGCCATACTGGCATATCCACATCATGATGAAAACCCTTTAATATGAGACAAAGAGCATAATAAACACAGACATGAGAATACTTGGCCACAGGGGCACGTTACCAGGAAGATAGCAAATAAATTTTTCCTGGACCCACCAAACCTTCTCTGCAGCCAAGAGAGTCAAACATTTATAAAAGCACTCCTCTAAGATAATTGGATAGGGGTGAGGGGGTTAGATCCTTTGTCAGGTTTATATTGCTATCATTTGCTTCAATGACAACTTTCAAAGAGATAATTTCCCTTATATTGGATAGATTTCCCCTCATTTCCAGTTGTGTCTACAACATGAATAGAAATCTCTTTAATAGGACAAAGATGGCAAAAAACCCTATAAATGTATTTTAATAAGGGGTATTGTGCATCCCATCAATGACTAATACCAATACACTGGTCATCTGGTCTTTGCCAGAGAATTTTAGTGGACTGATAACCAGGCCCAGTTGGCCAGTGGGCATCTCTGCTATGAACAGTCTCCTGGAAGTAGAAAATAAGATATGATGTTCTGGATGTTTTAAAGCAGTATGTTTTTTCAGGCCTTAAGCAGTGTAGTATAATTATCCTTATGCAGCTTTCCTAGGATGGTTGGAAATTGTCTGTTTACTTGAGCAAGGACTGAGTGTGCAAGGAGGAAATGCCTAAAACATATATAAATCAGCGGCCTCTAAACTTAATCTAAAATCTTACATCTAAATAAAGGATCAGTTCTTTGTCCTTTAGACTTTGGGGGGGGGGGGGGCTATTGTCAGTGGGAGTAGAAAATGCCCCAGCATCAATGGGAGTAAAAAAAGAGAAAAAGGTAAAATAGTGCCCCATCATTGGTGTCAATGGGTGGAATAATGCACCATCTTTGGTGTCATTGGAAGAAATTAGGCCTCATTGTTGATGCCAAGGGAAGGAATAATGCCCCACCATCAAAAAGTGGGAGTGGGAGGAATTATGACCATTGGCGGACTGACCATTTAGGCACTCGGGCACTGCCCGAGGGCCCAGGGTCGGTAGGGGGCCCCATGAGATGCCCCTGGTACATTTCATAGGCTTTTTTGGGTGTGGATTGAGTGTGGGTGAGGACACAGGGGCCCTTGATTTCATATTGGCCGGGGGCCCCAAGAGTTGTCAGTCTGCCCCTGATTATGACCCACTGTTGGTGTCAGTTGAAACCATAGTGCCTCATAGTTGGTGTCAGTAGGAGGAATACTGCCTCGTACTAGTGGGAAGAATGGTGCCCCAAGGGCTGGATAAAGGCAAGCAAAGGGCACCACAGGCCACAGTTTGGAGACCACTGGTATATAGTCCAGAATGTTGTTTTAGAATTCTGTATCATAAAAGTCAACTGGTAATTTTAAACAAAGTGTGTAATAAAATTGGAGGGATTCTGATGGATAATTAGTATGATTATTCCAGATGTCAGTTAAACTTGACTTTTATGATACATGTTCTGCTAAAAACTTATCCTAAAAGTCAGCTGCTTTGATTTCCATTGACCATTGTCATTCTAGTAGTGATATCTCCCTTCTTCAAGGC